ACAGCGGCACCAATACTAGCAGTAGCACTGCTTTACAGATACCTACAGTTGGTACAGGACAGAAGGGCCTGGCCCGTAGAGTTAGCAAAGTTATTACAGCAGCAGCAAGGGCTATCCTGCCTGTCTGGAGAACCACACCGACCAGTAGCCTCATCCGAGACGCTGGCCTTCCCACAGCAGAGGTAGCCCTCGAAGCAGCGCGACTACGCTTCGCTATACGCCTGCAGAAGGTTGACCAACAGCATCCCTTGGTCCCAAGGCTGCTGCAGTCAGGGCGGCAACAGACCAGGCTTCAAAGAACAGCTGGCCTTTTACCTAAGTGTCCAAGGCCAGCGCTCCTACAGCCGCAATACCTCCCAGGGTCCTATGACCCTATAGTTACACAGACGAAGGAAGTAGCAGCTAGGATCTTCCAGGCCTGGCTCAAGACTGTGCCAGGTCAGCATACAGTCGTATACTCAGACGGCTCCAAAGCTCCTGACGGGGCTACAGGGTTCGGCTTTGTTATCTACCGCAACAATAAACGTATAGCCCAGGGCTGCGGCCGTCTCGGCTTAGCAGAAGTGTTTGATGGTGAGGCGGAGGGGGCGAGGGCTGGGCTCCGACGGGCCCTTCAGACCTCCCAAGGCCAGCCTATACACATCTGCATCGACAATACCAGCGTTATTCAGGGGATTCGCGGTAAGGTCCCAGACTCCTCACAAGCGGCCTTCCTTGAGATCCAGGAGGTAGGCAGGATACACGATATACGAACCCATTGGTCTCCTGGGCACCAAGGTATTAAAGGAAACGAAGAAGCAGACAGCCTAGCTAAGGAGGGCACAACACTACTAGTCCCAAGGGGACAGCTAGCAACTCTATCAGGGATCAAACGGCTTGCTAAGGAGCGTATACGTCGCCAATACAAAAAATGGTGGAAACGGGAGGCAACATCCTGTTATACCCAGCTAGGACTCAAGGCCACCCTCGCTTGCGCTCCCGAACTAGCCCTGCCGCGGGCTATCCTTCATCATCTCCTAGCAGCCCGATCAGGCCATGGAGACTTCGAACAATACCACCAACGCTTTAACCATACAGAAGCACTGCTTACCTGCTCCTGCGGGGAGGCAAAGGCGGTAGACCATCTAGTCTACTGCCAAAAGATCCTAGTGAGGAGGCATCAGTGGCCTACCCTCCACCCTTCTAGCCCACTCGATCCTATAGGATCTATAGGATCTCTTGAGCGGTACTATAAGGGGTTAATTACTGATCCTATTGGCTTCCAGGCCTTTCTCCGCGTGACAGACTTCTTTCAGAAGATCTGCCCGCGGTACTAAGGACTAGGTCTTGACCTAGGCCCGACTAACGAATTTCTCCTCCTAGAGGGACAGACGGTAACAACGGAACTAGGGAACCAGCGGGAACTAGGGACGGATAGAACAGACAGTAGCTCACGGGCAAGATTTGGAGGACGTTAGGAAGAGGCGTGTACTATAGAGTATATAGCTCGAGCCTACGGCCCTCCACGCCATATACCCTTCGGGAGGTCTGCCGCAAGGGCGGCTGTGCCCTTGCCGCTACGGCGTTAAATAGAACAACAACAACAACACTGGACGAAGCCAGCAAGGAAGTTGATATCGGCCCCGCTGTTTCGCCGAATGCCCAGAGCCGGGGACCCACGCCCACGGACACCCGACGCACGGCAAAGGCTGAAGAATCCAAGGTACAGCACGATGCAGGAGGCATCGACGGTGTAAAGGCGGACAATTCCGCATGCCTCGCGGGATGGTAAGGGCGGGTTTCCAAAAGACGAAAACCGCCACATCGGCAGGCGACGGTGATGGTGGGGCTTGGCCTCCTCGAACCATTGAACACCGTGCTCGAATCCCGGCTACGGATTGGCTCCCCGATTGAACGACGCCAAGCATCCATCATCAGCTTCGCAGCTCCCTTTCTACCCATTTCCAACGTGCCGCGTTCACTTTTGCAGCTTGTCTACACAGAGATTCAGCATGTTCGCCCTGGCCTGATGCCATGGTGACTTTCAAGATGCAGAGCGACCAGAAACAGACCTCGTGGGGGCCTGATTACATGCATATCCATCGGTGTCCACAACGAGCTGCGTCCCGAGCATGTCGTCGCATCCGCAAGCTCCGGCCATCTCAAACCCCTGGACCACTATCTCGAAGATGGTGGTTGAGCGGAGGCCCCCCAGGGATCACCATTTGCCCTGTCATTGACGTCTCCCCCGCCTCGTGGTCCAGCCCTGGGACAGGAAAGCCTCGACTACTTTCGATAAAAGACTGCTAGCCAGAGTCTGCGTCCCCAGCGAAACCTGGAAGCCACTACACACATGGAACCTCTGCAAGCTCATCCTGCAACAGGCTAGGCAAACAGCTTGTGCCCCGGCACCCGTGTCGACGCGAGAGGCCCGCAGCTACGGACTCAGTCCCGTTTCGATCTCGGCTTACGGCAAGGTGAGCCCATGGGCCATATAACCATCTGACCTAGTCCCCCGGAACGACAAGGTCGCCATAATGATCGATCAGCGCCCACTCTCTATCCCTCTCTCACCTGCGAACAATCGTTTTGTGTTGAAACGGCGCCGCCACCTATTGAGCTGTCAAGACAAGCATTACCATCGTTGGGCATGAGATCGAATTAGCACATCATGTCTGCAGGACTTGGGCTCTGCCGAAGACCCCGGAGCCGACGACAACATCAGATCAGCCCATTGAATCCTTGGACCCGAGACCGTTCTTGAGTCCGAGTGAATAGTCAAGACCGTTTCTACGAGCGGGTGTATGGCCAAAGTCGGGCAAGCTATCATGGCCGCCGCACTGCATCAATATGACTACATCTTCGCCATCACCACCATCTTCTCCTTTATCGATGCGTGGAACATTGGTATGTCTCACTTATCTGTACTGGAATAGACCTGTTGCAGAACTCAATGGCGCTGCCAAATAGACACACGGCTGATCATGTAAACCCTAGGCGCAAACGACGTCGCGAACTCCTTCGCGACCTCGGTCTCCTCCCGCTCCCTCACAATGAAACAAGCCATGGCCATCGCTGCCATCGCCGAGTTCTCCGGCTCCGTAGCCGTTGGTTCCCGCGTTACAGACACCCTCCAAAACAAAATCATCGATCCGCATCTCTACGCGGCCCGCCCAAGCGTCCTCTTGCTCGTCATGATGTGCGCCATCTTCGGTTCCTCCGTCTTTCTTAGCATCGCCACACGCAACGGCTTGCCCGTGAGCACGACGCACTCAATCATTGGCGGGCTCGTCGGCGCTGCGACGGCGAGTGTGGGTATCTCAAAAGTTAGTTGGGGGTGGGACGGAGTGTCCCAGGTGTTTGCGGCGTGGGTTGTTGCGCCGGGGTTGAGCGGGGCGCTCGGAGCCTTGATGTTTCTCGTGACGAAGAGGTTTGTCTTGACCAAGGCGAATGCTGTGCGCAATGCCTTCTTTACGATTCCGTTTTACACCTTTCTGACGTTTGGCTCGTTGACGAGTGAGTCCTCACATCTCGTTGCCCTCCCGGTATTGCAGGGAGGGTAGATATGATTCCGCCAGGCCGAGACTGACACGTCGAACAGTGCTCGTAGCTTGGAAAGGCGTCCAGCTCCAAGTCGAACTCACAGCAACCCAAGCCCTCATCGCAGTCTTCTCCGTCGCCACCGGCGCGACGCTCCTCCAAGCCTTCTTCCTCCTGCCGTACCTCTGGCGCAAGATCGTCAACGAGGATTGGGAGCTGACATGGCTCATGATGTGGAAGGGCCCCTGGCTCCTCAACCGTCCCTCACCGCCTCTGCCTCCGGCCGGAGTGCGGAGGGTCAACATCAAGGATTACTACCGCGGTCACCTCACCGCCGACGAGCTCGCCTACATGAGGGCCTCGGAAACTCTCCTCGAATCGATACAAAGCAGCCAAACGCCCTCAGACCTCTTCAAAGACGACCGACCCATCCTCTCCCCGCCAGTCCTCGCACCTCCGCAGACCCCAGCCACATCAACAACATCAGCCTCCACAGTCACAGACACCCGCCGACCCTCCTCGTCCTCCTACACGTCCACCTCAGAACACATCCCGCCCCGCCCGCCAGGCTCCAACACAAGTCTCCCCGTCCTCACCTGGCGCCTCAACCGCCTCCTCCTCCGCGGCCTAGAACAAGACGTCATCACAATGCAGAAGCGCACCGCCGTCCTCTCCTGGGACATCGCCGACATGCACGCCCGCGCCCCGCACTACGACAACCGCGCAGAACACATGTACTCCGCCCTCCAGATCCTCACCGCCTCCGCAGCGAGCTTCATCCACGGCGCAAACGACGTGGCCAACAGCATCGGGCCCTTTGCGACGGCCTACGACATTTGGAGGACAGGCGGGATCGAGACGTCGGTGGGCGTGCCGGTGTGGATCCTCTGCTTCGGGGGCGGGGCCATTGTTTTGGGGTTGTTGACGTACGGGTACCACGTCATGCGGAACCTGGGGAACAGGTTGACGCTGATTTCGCCGAGTAGGGGATTCTGTATGGAGCTTGCGAGCGCGGTTGTGGTGATGATGGCGACGAAGCTTACGTTGCCTGTGTCGACGACGCAGTGTATTGCTGGCGCGACTGTCGGGGTCGGGTTGGCGAATGGGGATTGGCGGTCTATCAACCCGCGGCTCGTGGCGTGGATTTATTTCGGGTGGTTTGTAACTGTGCCGGTGTCTGCGTTGTTTTCGGGGTCGTTGATGGCCTTGATACTTAATGCTCCGCACTGGGAGGCGGCTATGAAGTGAGGATAAGGCGCGGAGCTTCCTATCCATGATGGTGATGAGGCCAGTGCCGGGCTTTCGTGGATGCTGAGTCCTTGAATATGTTACTATACCCCAATGTCTTTGGTCCATTTGAGCGGGAGTTGATGGAATTAGAAACCAAGTTTTGAATATTGCGCAACGAATATCAATTTTCAACTAAGAAGCAATACCGTGAATCCGTGGGTACTACCGCCAGGTATCCTCGCTCCCACAACTCAATGCAGTGCAAAGATCCGCGTGTCAGACTCTTTAGGCAAATACTTCAAAGCCCAGCCCACATGCCCATCAAGATACGCCTCCCCAACAACTGACAAGTGCTCAAACGAGACATCACCCTGCCCAGGAACCCTCCACAACTCCTCCTCCTTCTGCTCGTTCATCATCGTGACGACGCCACAGCCAGGCTCCCTCAGGGACTCCAACAACATACGTTGAATCTCTGGCCCGTGAACCCCAGCGTCCTTTGGGCGAAACACGACGGGCGTGTTGCTGCCTACTAGATACGCAATCGCGTCCCCTACCGAAGCTTGCGCCGGCACAACACTCATCCTGCCGTCTCTCGTCGAGGCCAATCGTCTACCTTCGAGGTCGGAGTCACCCTTTATCCTGGCAAAGTATCCGTACAGACGTTTGATGACACCGCTGGTGCCCGAACCCACAAACTCGCGCTTCTTGGTCGCTTCTGAAGCCAGCCACTCTGATAGGACTTGGACGAAGCCGGCATCTGCTTGTTGCTGGCGGGTGCTTGAAACAGTAGCAGAAGTGAACTGCCCGCCGAAGGTTCCGAATGCCTGGACCCAGGTATTTCTGACAACGTGGCAAAGACGCTCGTGCTCAGCCTCCTTGCCCTTGAGCGGAACATGTCGATACTGACCAAACCTGTCTCCGGAGGCGTAGGCATTTCTATACATCTCCATTAACTCTGATTTCGCGGCATCGTAGTCTGCAGTCAGGTGCGAATTCTGCAGACCAGCAGGCAAGACACAGCTAACGTGCTTGATCTTATCCACCTTCATGCCAATGTGCCCCAGAACAAGCGGCAAATCACTGTTCGAAGACTGAGTAAAGGCATGGTGGACTCCCTTCTTCACTCTGATCCGGCTCAGGCTATTGTCCTGGACCATGCACAGCGGATTCCTCTTCGTGTAAGAAGCTTCTAGTTTCCAGTCCGGCGCCCAGGAAGGAAGCCCTTCTACCCGTTGAGAAGCGGGAGCATCGTCTACGTGAAACATCATCTGCTCAACACCGAGCTCGTAAAACATGTACTCGGCAACTTTGCCAAACGTACGGCCAACCGACATGTCATAATCGACCGTGAGGTACCGCTCAACAGTCTGGAGATCACTAATGATGCCAAATGTAGCGTAGACGAAATCGGCCGGGTTCGTCGCGCCTAGGCCTCGTCGCGCCTTGACGGCGCGGTGGAGGGGGAGCCTCGACTGGCTGGCCCAGCATGAGTTCATATCTGCCAGGACGCGCTGCCTCTCCTCATCATTCTGCGCCCTCGGCGACGAGCCCGAGCCGCCACCGAGGAAGTAGGCGCAAAACTCACGCCATCGTATCCGCCGGCTGCCACATTGAACCCAGGGATCTCTCGAAAGGACCAGCTCCTGAAAAACCCAGACGCGTTCGAACCACGTTTTGGACAGCAGGCTCCAAGGCCCTCGCCCCGTTCCCCCTATCGCAGCGACGGCGGTACTTTCCCCGTCTTCCGTCTCGGGCTCGGGAGCGAAATCACGGGGTACGGAAAACATTTCAGTGACGTCGGGCGTGAGATGGCCGAAGTGGATGACGGTGCTGTGGGCAGTCGAGTAGATGCGCCCCATCAACCTGACCTGGGCGTTGCGCTCGTGGACGTTATCCTGATCAATGCAGAGGGCGTCGGCCCAGACCCTCCTTACGCGCGTGGGGTCGCGCAGGTCGCGCAGGGCGTCGTCGAGGGAGGCTGTGATGGCGAAGAGGTGACCACGGCCGCCGTCATCAACGAGTCGGATCCGACATGCCCTTTCTGACGTGCCCCATACGTACGACAGGGCTGTGTACGGGTCGATCAGGTCGTAGTCGCACTCGGCGAGGGTGGTGTTGCGTAGGGATCCCCTGAGTTGGTCTGCGCGGGCGGCGGAGGGCTCGAGGAGGAGCAGCCTGAAGGCGTCGTTGTTGTCGCCGCCGCCGCCGCTGCTGCTGCTGTTGCTGCTGCCGGTGCTAGTGGACGAGAGCGGCTCGTAGTCGTACCTGTGCTCGCTTTCACGCTCATCATACGCGGACATGGCGGGCGGATGGGGTGTCGCTGGATAGCTGGTCGGGGACCCGGGGTTTTCTGAAGGTGCCGTCGGTGATCGGTCCGATGCCGCTGACTGCCAAGTATCCGGTTCCGTGAGGGCCTGGGCGGATGGTGGAACCCTGGCTCGGCGGGAAGGGGTCTTCCTCAACGATGGACAGATAGAATCTTAGAAAGACGGATGCTATTTTGGCAGACTCGGCGATAATGCAGATTCAAACTTTGCTGATGTTCGCATGTACAGCTCGTTCCGACGGGATTTTGCCTTTTTCCTAGTTCTTGTTCTTTTGGTACACCTCCTCCCCTGGATCGTCTAGATATGAGGCAAAACAAAACGAAACTGGTATCTGCCCGTGTCTGGATCTTACATTTCGTCCCAAAACGGTAGACGGGATGACAAGAGATCTGACTCCACGTGACTCGGACGAAGGCCGATTGTTTCTGGGCCGAGTCAGCTTTTAGTTTCACTGCAATACGGTTTTCCTTCATCTGATGTGATGTTTCTTAGGGGTGCAAATTTTCAGGGTCAAATGGCGAGCAGACGAATCAACTCGGGTATCGGGATGAAGAATGGAATGAATGATTCGAGAACACTGTTCTTTTTGGGGGGAATATTGCGCTTCATCTTGCCACGTCGGCCGTGCCGTGATAACCAGTATTAGACGACTCGGCCGGGCAATTTGTGTGTGTGAGGGGAAAATGATGACCAGCAGCGGTGGCGACCGAAACAGCTTGAAACCTTAGTCAGCAGGCTCAACGTCTGGGGAGAGACAAGGTTATGCCTGAGGACAGGAATGGATTCGGGAGCTCTCCACCTCTCCAAGCGGGGGAAACCCATCGGAGGTTAATCCGAGGTTCGCGAGGAACAATGCGAGTTAATCCGAGAGCTCGTGACTGAAGCGAGGGGTGCCGTTGCCGGAAGCCAATCAAACGGTTGCCGAGTGGAGACCCCGGCACTCCCAGGCCCCTTGATCTTGGACCGTCCAGAGTCGAATCTCAATCGGACGGGATTCTGGGTCCAGGCCCAGAAACCACGTTTAGTGTCGTATCCAGCACGCGAACCTCTGCGCGCCAATCCAATGCTGGGAAGGCGCACATTCAAAGGCTGGCACGCTGGTAATGGCATGTTACTCCGTAGACAGCATGCCTTTCTCCAACTTTTTGTGTCTCTCCAAAGTAGCAGCAGCTCTAGCTCACACGCCAATGTCATGCCCGCGGCCCCCCTAAGCCATCCGAATTGGATGATGCCGCAGCTTGCAGGAACTACGGCTCGATGGGATCAACAGGAGTCGAGGAGACAAAACGCTGGAGCCAAGCATGCCACCGCCACGGCTATGAGCCTGTGAGGAGAGGGGGCATAGTAAGAGCTGAGGAGGAGAATGATGAGCATCATCATGTACAAGTATGATGGACCAGCCGCCAAACGGAAAACGACCAAACCTCTTTCTGCTAGGTCTCCGCAATTGCGTATTGGCACCCTCCTTTTGCCTCTCTCGGTCGTATCACGCGTATGGGATTTGCGCTTTCCAACTGGGCATCAGCATCTCTGCATGCCGCATATTCGGATCGTCTTGTGATGTTCCTGCGACATCCCACTTTTGATTGCTGCTCTGGCTTCTGGCTTCATGGGAACCCATTCAATCTAATGATAGTTACGACAGCAATGACGTTGATTCTCTCCCCTTTGCTTTCTTTCTCTTCATCAAATGTGGCTATCCACAGTGTCAAAAAAACGAAGAAGGTGAGGAAAAGCTAGGAAGTTTGAAAAGTTGCATAGGAGATCGTCGTCTAGCCGAACCACTTTTGTGAGATATTCTTGGGAGTTGGCAGAATTGGCCGAATGGTTGTATCCAAACGACGCACCAGGCCCCCGCCCCTCCCAAGACCTAATAAGTTGTCCCCCTCTCGAGTCTTCCTACCCTTTCCCATCAATTTCTTGGACCCGCGGACGGGCGAGCCCCATGACAGACCTAGCCACTCACTGACCACTGTGCCACTCAACGGTCTCGAACATGGATACGGGATATTACGTACGCGGCCTTACTTCCGGGTACCTACATTTTTCGTGTGGCACTCACTCCATTGGCGATGGCACGTCGCCAGGCTCGCACCTTTTCCTTGCTGCTTCGCTCACCACACCCCTGGGCCCCGGCCCTTAGTCGTGGCTGTTAAGTGGGGTTCCTTCGATTAGATTCCTGGGATGACAAGCATGGCAGCTGTTCCAGTTCCAGCCCGCTCCCGCTTCTTCAGTTCAATCTAGTGGTGGTGCTGCTGCTAGCCTGCTGCAGCGGATTCAGCCAACAACCACAGGCCGAGAGCTCACACACACCTCGGCTGCGAAGTACTCAGCTGAGCGCCAACTCTGAGCTGACTCTCGCTGGGCTGGCTGGCTGGAACGCAGGCTGGCACGAGCTCGGTGGAAAAAGTCTGGAAGTTCTTGTTGCCGAATAGGAAATGAGTCGGGGAAAACACGCAGCTTTTGCGTCAGGAACCTGCTGACGTCGAGGAATTGGATGCAACCACCATCCCGCAATGGAAGGCCTGCAGCAGCAGCAGTAGTGCAGCCCAGCCTGCAGGAAAAAGATTACCTATCTTACCCGAAGTGATGGGATGCCAATTGTTTGGTGTGTATTGTGTGCCTCGTCTCATTCGTCTCGCAAACACGGAAAGAGATAAAATAGAGCAGCAAGGGAAAAAGTTAGATAGGACGAGCCCGGAGCACCCCAACAGGTAAGTTTTGGAGTTTGCTGCGACATGACGCTTTGTCAAGAGCGTCAATTTCCAACGAGATTTGTTTTCTCGGCCGACCACCTCTCACGCAGTACGGGCACAGCCTTCAGATGATAGAATGCCGTGCCGTGAGCTGAGGTTAGATAGATGAGTAGATTAGTATTCGCGAGACCGCGGATAGATAGGTAGTAGATAGATCGTAGAGGCATGAAAGGCTAGAGGCAGTCGGCGCCGTCCATCATCTCCTCCCGCTTCGGGTTCGCAGTTGACGTTTTGTGGGATCATTGCGAGGCGCAGTCGGCGGCGCCAAGAGGAAACTTCCGTTAGCCAAAAGGCTGGAGCCTGGGCCTTTTAGCCATATTTTTACGGTGTTTCCCGTTTTGCTACCGTGGGTGCGTTGGTGACTGGCGGCTGCTTCCTGATTACCTATTCCTTTTCGTCGTTCTTTCCGTCTTCACTATCTCTTCCTGCCCCACACCTCGGGTTGCGAAATGCCCCACCTTACACCCCCGTCCATCATCTTTTCGTTGCGTCACGGATACATGTCTGATTGTGTTCATCATTCATCAATTTATCTTCCCGCGGGTATCCGTATATTGAACTCGTTATTAACGGTGGATCATTGGACTTTCAAGATCAAAGCACGTTCGCATTCGAACGGAGACCGTTGCTCGGCAAGCTTGTGGCTTTCCAACACCCCCCTTGCCCCTCTTTCCCCTGGCGGCGCCCGGCTGCCTTGACAGGCGCGCCATTTCCCTCGGGCCAATTTCGTCTGGTTCCGCCCCAACAGCTCGGCTCGCTAAATGAGCCACCACCTGGCATCACCTCGCACGGGGAGGAAGGACCAGGGGAGGGGGACAAGGTGGACAGTGGACGGGGGTGGACGGGACCGCGTACGGTAGCCGAGAGAAACAGTTCCCTTTGAGGTCAAGACCACCTGGGCAGCTCTGTGAGACTTGAGAGTATTTGCCTGCCCTGTTCAATGTCTTTTTCGGTGGCTTGCCATGTGCAATCAGAAGTCAAGGAAAAACCAAGAAACCAAGAGACGAGACAATAGGATTGGACCAAACGATTCAAGTAGCCGCTCCAACCAAGACTGCTACACACACACAAACTGGGCCAAGGCTGCACCCAAGACCAGTGACAAGGTGGGAGGTCTAGAGCTTGAGCGCCATATCCAGAAACATTCTTCCGCGGGTTCAAAACTCACTTCAGACTCTCCCACCCACAGCTGCAATTGTCAAGTCAACAACCATGGAGAGTTGGAGATGGATCTACTACCGTAGGAGGGGGTTTCCGAACTAGTCAAGACTCAAGAGTCAAGGCTCGATGGGAGGAAAGGCTATTCCCAGCACAATCGCCACACTCCTGGGCAGTCTCCCAGAGCCGGTGCCGTCTTTGCGTCTATGTGTCCTTGGTGTCTTTCGCGGGACGGTGGAATTGAGTTTCAAGGGTCCTGGGTCCGCGTCCCACTTGTTCTTCATTCTTCTCTGGCGCACTCCCACTCAAGACACGTGTTCTTGGGGGTTCTTGACTCTTGCCAACTTTTTTCTTTCTTCGTTCTTTTTTTCTTCTCTCTCCTTTGCGAGGTGCGAAGTGCGAAGTGACTGCCTGCAGCCTGTGTGCGGCTGCCAAGTCTGTTGGGGGCACTTGCTTGGTCTTGGACGTGGGAAGGAGCCAAGGCGAATGAGGGAAAGGGTAACGCGAGGCCCCAGGAAACCAGGAAGGTGCAACTTGTAAGTCTGGAGAACGGGCAATGGCGCTGCGGCGCATTTGCACCCGCGTACTTGCCAAGATGGTCCCCGCCCCTCCGTATCGAGTACGGTCCTTCCTTCCCTGCCAAGCCATTCACGTATCCAAGGTCCCCCCAAGGTTGAAGATGGGAAGGTTCCAAGGTGCTCTGCTCTTTCCTCGGTTTTCCTCAGCCGTGTTCGGTGACCGTCACGGTCCTCACCCCAAGGCTCTCACGGTCAATGTCAACCCTGAGCCTGAGGTCCCTGATGCTCAGGTAATACGCGCACTGCGCACCGCACACCACCCGCGCACTTCGTACCGTCTTCGGGTCCCTGCCTTGCCTTGTGCGGCGTGCCTTCCCTCCCAGAAATCCACCGCCTTCTCCAACATTGGAAAGTGCATGATTCGAGAAGGACCCCGAAATTCATCGTTTCAGTCTTTCAGGGTCCTGTCAAGGCTCCCAGGTCCCCGCCCGCGCAAGGTCAACCGGTGTCAATCAGATAAGCTCCGTCACCTTTTTTAATTTTTTTTTCTCTCTTTCTCTCCTCGCTCACTCCGGCACACACGCCCATCCATTTCAATCTTGATTCTCGAGTCTCACTCTCAGTCAACCTCTTACAATTGCTTCATTCTAGAGTCAGTCAGTCAGTCTCGGCTGCCGTGCGGGATGGTCTCGAGTGAGGAGTGCAAAGTTGCACCTTGCAGAGCCCAGCCCCCATTCTCCAGCAAGGCCCAGTGGCACCAATCTCTCCAAGAGGCGAGAAAGAGAAAAGCAGCAACGCAACAAGCTGCGCCCCCGGGGCTAACGAAAGCGCCAACGGCCAATTTGCTAGATTGGATCAGGGGGCATTCGGGAAACAAGATTAGCAGAGGGAGGGGCGTGGCCCACCCTTTTGAGACGGGCGCGTCCAGTCTGTTCTGTCAATCTGCCCGTGTTTTTTGCGAACTTGCGCGTATGTGTTCATGCTAGCCGTACGTGCTCCGTACCCATACGAGAGCACACGAATACTCGCTGTCATTCATTCTGCCCTACATTTCTGCATCTCAGTATCATACTTTCTTCCACACAGACATGTTTCTTTTACCTCTCCTTACCTGTTCATACCTTTCGTTGTCACCAACCAGCCAATTCACCACATGTCTGATTGCCATGTCCACAGGTACGCCATCGCGCATACTCTGAACAGAGAGTACACCGCAATCAAATACCTTGGCTGCAACCACAACCACCACAACCTGGCTGATGTTCGGTTCCTTTTTGTCTTGGCGGGAAACTGGGAGTGGGAAGCTAGTCGGGGAGATTGGAAAAGAGAATGTCGTCTCGCACCCGAACTGAGTGATGAGAGTCTCGTCTCTCAATCGGTTTCCCCCTCCGCCCCCCCTGCACCATGTCATGTCCATGGCATGGCCCATGTCCCATCCTAATCCCAATCCCCCATACTGCGTATCCATCCCGTCCCCATCCAGTCAACTTGCCTCTCCACCAAAAACCCACGCACACTGTTTCGACCTGCCTAACTCGAAGACAAGCTGTCCTTGATGGTAGTCTCTCTCTCTCTCTCTCTCTCTACTCCGTACCTTAGGAGCAGTAGTAGCACACACTTGTGGCCCAGTGGGTGTGGATGCAATGGAAAAAGATGATCCACAAATCTTTTGAAGAACCACCTTACCTGGGCACCCTCGCCTCGCTCCACGTCTTGGTCCCTGTTCACTCGTACGGGGATGAGCCACGGGGTATACGGAGTACCGTACCGTCCCTGGCATCTTGTCGCCGCTTGCTGGTTGCTTTCCTCTTGGACCTTACCTTGGTACTGGTGCTGGTTGCTCTCTCCTGATTGAGCTGGTTGTTGTGTGGCTGCTGCTCCTTTCCATCCACGTTTCTTCTCAGATCCTCTCTCGCCTCGTCTCTCGTCCCCAGTATCCATCCATTCAGTATTCCACTCTCACACCCCCGTCGCCTGTTACGTTGTCCCGTCTGCCCGTTTCTTGTCTCTCCCGTCTCTCTCGACTCTCTCGCTCGTTTGTTCTGCCCTTTATCCTGAGCCTGCCCCCCCTCCCTTTTCTTGCTTCCCAGGTCATGTCCATGTCGTCTGTTCTCATCTGAAAGTGGCACGAGTGTCGACTGCTTCGCCTTTGCCGTAAATTATCTCTCTCGCCATCCTGAACCGAAAGCTGTCCGACAGGGTTCTGAAGCTTTCCTGTCACCGCGGATCCTGCCTGCCGCCAGCCTACCCTCCCTCAAACCACCCAAGGTCGATAATACGTAAAATACCGCATCGCCCACGTTCAAACAACCAGTTCGTCCCCGGCGCATCACCATCACCATCACCTACCCAGGTTCACCACCAACACCGACCCTTCTCTTTTTTTTCTTCCTCTCTTGCGACTGGACGTCAACTGTCTGTCGACCTCGTACGCAATTGACCGGCGAGAAATTAAAGTTCGATCGGGTTTTTGTGTGCGTTTGGCAAAGTTCGATCACGCCGTCCCTTCGCGCCTTCCAGTAGTCGCTCCCTCGAATTCACCACGTCGACGGAACCTCGTCACTATCACCACGAAAAAAAGATTCGACCATCATCGTTTTTTCGACGAATCTGAAATTTGGCTAGCAAGCACAAATCTTGAACCGAATAACGAAACCATCGTACAGTTGCGACAATGGATCGCGACAGCAGAATCATTACTCCCCGCGAGGTGGAGGGCATGATTGCGGATGGACGCACAATCGTCATTCTTGACGAAATGGTTCTTCGCCTCGACGGGTGGATGGGCAAGCATCCTGGTGGCCAGTTGGCTATCCTGCACATGGTTGGAAGAGATGCGACCGACGAGATCAAAGTGTAAGAGGCTTGACTTACCTTCCATGTCCAATTAACCTTTGGGTGCATCGCATCTTCCCCCTCCCACCATCTTCATCTTGAGGCTGAGCCCCCCTCCGAATCTGGACCCTTATGCGGCGTCGGGTTCCCCCATCATTCCCGCGGGTTCGGATAAACAATCTGAAAAGGAGTGGGACGCCGGAAAGAAAGAAGCATCCGGGAATGCGAAAGCGACTGAGATATAATCAGAAGTCTGATTAAGCTTATTTTCCCACATGGTCCAAATGGTGGGAGAAGAGGGAAAGGGGAAAGGGCCAATTAATATTTCGGATTCGCTGGACATTCGGACTCCGTTATTGATGCGTTAAGTGGAATTAGTGTGCTGACATATCGCTTTCGACAGGTACCATTCGGCTGCCACACTCAACACCATGAAAGCCTTTCGGATCGGCCGGAAACCTGCGGGTCCCTGGATCAACATGACACCACCAATTAGGGGCGGCGTCTACACCAAGCAGGAGACCACAACACCCACATCTGCATCCAACGGCATCACTCCCGCCGGTGCTACTGCAGATGATCCCACGGACGCTGCCGTCGACTGCCCCTCGTCCGATCTCGATGAAGACGACTCCGCCGACGATGCCGTCTCCTATGTATCTGGCGGGAGCTCCCGCACGTCCCTGACTTCGGATTGCAGCAGTGCAGAGGTCGAGGCCAAACCCGAGCCCCAGACTGAGACTGGCATCAGACGTCGCCTTGCTGCACCTGCAGACCCTACCGACGATGCCCTCGCCGCAGGCCCCGGTTTGTCGGGCCGGAGCCGTATGACCGCTGACCAGTACACCGAGTGGTCCATCCAACAGAACATTAACAAGGATCTCGATGAGTACCCTTCTCTCGACCCTGCCGTCCAGCGCGATATCCAGGAGAAGTACCGTCTGCTCCATGAGCGTATCAAGGATGCCGGTCTCTACGACTGCCCCTACTTGGACTACGGCAAGGAGATGTGCAGATACTCGACTCTGTTTGCCCTCTTCCTCACTGCCCTGCACTATGAGTGGTTCATGACCTCGGCCTGCTTCTTGGGCCTCTTCTGGCATCAGGTCATGTTCTCTGCCCACGACGCTGGACACGGCGCCATCACCCACAACTTCACCTATGACACCCTCATTGCTCTCTTTGTTGCCGATTTCTGCTGCGGCCTTTCCATGGGATGGTGGAAGAGCAGTCACAACGTGCACCATCTCATTACCAATCAGCCTGTAAGTCGAGCCTCTTCGTCATGTCCCGAAATTGTCACTAACACATCCCAGGAACACGATCCCGATATTCAGAACGTCCCTCTCTTCGCCACATGCCCTTCATTCTTCAAGTCCATCAAGTCGACTTACTACGATGGCTTCGTCTTTGTCTGGGATGCCGCGGCCGATGTTCTCGCCAAGTACCAGGCTTACACCTACTACCCCGTCATGGGCATCGCTCGCTTCAACCTCTACCTTCTCTCCTGGCTCCACGTCCTGTCGCGTAGATCCTCCTCCCTTGGTGCCTCCAAGGCGTGGTGGATTCGCCCGACCGAGATCGCTTTCATGTGCTGCTTCTGGTACATCTTTGGCTGGCGTCTGATTCTCAACACGCTGCCCACCTGGCCCATTCGTGTTGCCTTTGTCCTGGTCTCGCACATCATCACCATGCCTCTGCACGTTCAGATTACCCTCTCCCACTGGGGCATGTCTACCTCGGATCTTGGCGAGTCCGAGTCCTTTGCCCAGCGCCAGCTTCGCACCACCTTGGATGTCGACTGCCCCGCCTGGTTGGACTTTATTCACGGCGGTCTTCAGTTCCAAGCCGTTCACCACCTCTTCCCGCGCGTCCCGCGGCACAATCTCCGCAAGGCGCAGGTGTTTGTCAAGGATTTCTGCAGGGATACCGGAATCCCTTACTCGATCTTGGGTTTTGTCGATGGCAACAAGAAGGTCATTGGTAGACTCGAGGAGGTCAGCGACCAGCTTCGTACACTGCTCAACTGCCAAAAGTTCATGGCGGAGACGGGCGAAAGCGCTCTGCATTAGACACAGCATCAATGCATTGTTTCGGCGTTGGAGGGTTATTTTCATAGACTAGATAAAAGCTGTCTGCTGTCTTGATGTTCAACTGTTCATATATTCTTATTCTATATGACATATGATGCGTCCGAGTGACCGTAAATAAGGCATGGGTGAATTTGTGCCGATCACCGTTTAATATCAGAAACGGTGAAGCAGGAACATCCCGTCCGACCATCTCCAGAACTAAGGAAACCAGTTCACGTTGTGATCGAGATCTCGACACGAACATCCAGATAACTGGTTCTGGGGAATCTCCACAAGCCAGAGAGTCTAAATGTTATTCCCCGGATGGAATACACTGATGTGATCCCCACGGACTGACGACGTTGACACAAGATTAGAGTATCCGTAGGTTTAAGGTTACTAAGGCAGCTTGACCACCTCCCAGGACCGGGCACGCATGCGGTATGCAAGTGGAACATGGAGGCATATCCTGGTCTGGCTTGGCTGGGGCTGAAGGCGGACCATCGAGGATCGAGATGTTCGGACTTTGGAGAGGAGATATTTGAGTCCGAAGCTAAGGTGAGCTAAGGTGTGGTAATTGTCTGGTGGATCCGCCAGGGTGGCGCTGAGTAAGTGGACGGGTTACCGGTGCCGATCCCGATCCCGGGACGACCGGGCTTGGGAGTTGGGTATATGTATTGTGTATCTATCTCCCTTGTTTGTCTCCTGCTTGCTTTCTTTCTGGATTCGGTTTTGGTGTAATGGTGTTTGAGGTGTCCCGTCTCTGGTCGTGGTGAGGTACGATGCGAGAATTTCCCATCTGGAGTTTCGGGCACTCCTCGATATCTACACCAACGCCCATTCTGTCAACTCGTCCTCTCTATCAGGCCACACCTCCCCGTCCATAACCCCATCGACGACGGCATACCCTACGATCACACACCCGCTTCCCCTCGACCGAACAACGAATGGGAAATCCAACCCCGAAAAGACGCAAATCAAATCACCTGGCTCCGGCTCTGCCACGCAGAACCCGAAGTGGCCCTCTGAGGTTAGGAACATGCACCCGGAGCCCATGGCGGCGTTGATGTTGCCAATCTTCAACCAGGTCGAAGGTTGCCGGGAAGCTATTGCGTCCGCTAGCGCCGAGGGGGTTTGGAGGGCGTATAAGGAGGCGGCGTCTGTTTCTGTTCGCGGGTTTGCTTGCAAGATTCTGACAAGCAGGGCTCGGGTGCTTCGAAAGGTAAGGGATGCGGTTTCATTCGCCGCTTGATTGTCTTCGCTTGCGTCGGTAGGCGGTGGTGGCGACAGGATATCTGAGAGGAAAGCCTGGGAGACACGCCTCGCATCGCCTACCCAGGCGAGCAAGTCTTCCTTGTTGTCGGCTAGGACGAAGGAATGGTCGAATAAAGGGAGCTTGGAGCTTATGCGGTCGCCTACGCGCGCGACGCTCCTGCCTTTGAGGTATAGTGTGCGGGTGTCGGGTGAGAATCTGTAGTAGGGTCTGCCGCCGCGGGACGATGACGCCGGGACGTCTAGGAGCATTCTTCCATCCATGGCGTGGTTGCTCCAGTTGAGGGCCCAGGAGGGTAAGTCTGGGACCAGGGGGAAAGGAGTACTCGGTGCTGATGTTGATGTTGATGTTGATGTAGACGTGTCTCCTCCTTCGGCACCAAGGAGGAGGAGATGGGTAAGAGTATCCTGCCCCAGGATATGCTGCCTCGTCGCCTCACGGTAGACTTTCTCTACCGGATCCGTGTAATCCACCCCTACTTTTCCAAACGTCTCTGGAAACACGGCGCGAAGGGCGTAGATTTTGTCACGGGGTTCCGTGGACTGTAAGTACAGCAGCCACCTGAGCTGATAGACGTTCAACTTCCCGCGGCGCGCAGCAATCTCCGCCGCTTCCTTCTGCTCCTCGGCGGATACAGCATCAGATGCATCCGCAGGAAGGGAGGAGAGGATTTTCCGGCGCATGTGGATGGCTAGTTGGGTCGGGCCCGGGTGGGTGCGGTGGGCGTCGCCCCAGTTCTGGAGGATGTTGGAGAGGGCTTCGCCTCCGCCGTCGAGGCAGAGGATGAAGGCGTTGGTGTAGGCTGCTTCTTGGAGGGTCCAGACGCGGAGCCAGTAGGGGGCGCGTTGGAGGATGGAGAGAAGGTTTGGGTCTAGGGCTTTTTGGGGCTGTGTTAGTGAGAGGGGCGAGGGGCATCGAGGGGTTTCGAGGGGCTAGGGGCGTTTCTTTTTTTTGGGGCAAGTGATGTAAGTGAAGATGTAAACTCGTGTTGAATGTGAATGTCCAAACTTTGCGGCACTTACCTCGTCCCTGTTCGTCTCTTACCCTCGGAACACCTTTGTACAACGCAAGCACCGAAGCTGGCACCCACTCGTTGCCCAGCCATACAAAGACGTATTTCGCCTTCTGGTAGAGTTCCGCCATCATGCCCACCTGGACGCTCTTCTCGTTGTTGGAGGACTGGTTGATGCAGACGGCGTCAACCCAGAGCGAGAGATCGCGGATCCGTGGTCCGCGTAGGATGTTGAGTACGGCGGCGCAGTTTGGGGTTATCATTAATGAGGGTTGATGAACCTGTTGAGGGCTGGTGGTGGGGATGGTGATGGCCGTGGCGTTTACTACTGTTAGAGGGATATTCGATGGTTCGCCTCCCCAGGTATAGGAGAGGGCTGCGTATGAGACTGGGTTGTCGAGAGAGGTTTCTCTGAACTCGCATTCAAGGGGCGAGGATTTATCTTTGGTGTTGACGAGGCGGATGAGGCGGATTGACTTCGGGGTTGGAAGGGGTGAGTATTGATATTGAGAAGTCATTTTTGATCAAGTACTAGTCTATACGCACCGGTGTTTGTGTTGGTCACGGAGTTTTGCGATCAAGATGGCAAGGTCCTGGGAGATGGTGACCAAGTCTTGAAATGTTGTTATTGGCAGTGATGAAATTGGTATTTAGAGAGTTACACCAGAATTGTTTGTCTAAAAGCCTAGAAGCTGTTGATTGCGGACAGGATAATCTGTTCTTGATGATGTGAGGTGATTATAGCTTAGATGTGCTAGACAGACCAATGGAGACTGAAGAGGTTGTCGGGAGGCTATCACGTGGGACCTAGCCAAGCGGTGGAGGTTCAGCCGCACTTTTCAGCTGCGACTCGATGATTACCAACCTAGGCTAAGTGTCCTCAATTATCATTCGTTGGGTTACATTGACAAAACATATTCTAAGGACATCATCGACTCCAATCAGCCTGAAACTTTTATAAAGAGTACCTAGTTCCTGCAGAACCAGTTTCAACTAGTGCTAGCATCTCTGATCAGTCCTCTCTGTAAAGCCTAGCAGCAACAACGACTAGGTAAGCAACAGCCAGAGTCAAAACAGCAAGATTGTGGACTTTTTGAGATTTTACTGAACTAGTAGCTTAGAAAGGCCTCCCTACTCTCTCTGAAGTATGGCTGAGGGTTTTGGCTAAGGGAGGGACAGTGGGATGAGACGACTCATTCAGTTTGACTGGCTCATTTGCGAGCTCAACATCGAGTTGGTCGGTCAATGTATTCATGAAAAGAACCAGGCCCCAAACCTAGCTGAGGTTCAAGGTCAATGCTATTAAACGTAGGTGCGATGATTTGTATGCGGTTGAAATTGCCTGAAAAGCTAGTACTGCCTAGTTAATTGATGCTTATCCCATCGAGTGCTGACTGACGCCATTTTTGCCAAGCCCCAAAATCCCCACTATTTACACTTTATTACCCCGCATTTAAAGGGGTACATTGACGATACAACATTTACCACTATGCTCTTTTACCTGTTATCACTACTATTACTAGCATTTCAATTGATGCTGCAATGTCTTCTAGTGATTCTGATACCTCTATTGCTTCCAATACCTCTATTGCTTCCAAAACTTCTGTTACTTCTGTACTCAGCACTATAGTAGTTGAGGTCTACCCAGAAGACCTAGCTGCTGCTTGTAATACAGCTTGTAAGCCAGACGGCTGTGACGAAGCCACAGTCCGGCCCTGTGAACCTCCGGCTACCGAGCATGGCCCTCCGGGCTCCTTCCGGCCCTTGAAGTACCAGCCCGGGCCCAAGAGGTCCGGGGGCTGCCGGCAAGCCCGCTGGAACTATTCCTCCAATACGTTCCGCAAGACCTCGTGGAGCAGTGGGCCCAGTGGACGAATACAGCACCGCCGTCGTCTAAAGAGGGCCCCTGGCTTAGAACGTCTAGAGTGTATAAGTGGCGGGAGACCTCAATAGAAGAGATCTACCTCTTCCTAGGGATCTTATTATATATAGGGATCCATAGGGAATCTAGATTATCAACCTACTGGTCAACCCAACAGCAGAGGGAGGATCCCATCCACCTATTTACGCGGTTTATATCCCGGGACCGTTTCCAACTACTGTTTCGGCGACTGCGGATATTCAATACTGCGGATTTCCAGCCCAGCCAGCCCGACGAGCCCGTCCAGCCCGTCCAGCCCGTCCAGCGCGGGGGCCAGCCAGGCCCAGCCGAGCCAGCCGAGCCAGCCCGTCCAGCCCAGCCAACGAGGGGGCCGGGGCCGGGGACGGGGACGGGGACGGGGACGGGGACGGGGCCAGGCCCGGGATCGAATGCCCGATGTATCCCATCGAGTGCCAATTGGCAACAGGTACATGCCCTTGAGGGGAACTGACCACTCAGGAGACAGCCAAGACTTCTTCTAGCCAACCAAAAAGCCTAGATTATGGATACTTCTGTTGTCTATATACTCTGACTATGAAAGAGGTACCAGCAATCATCCGAGTTACAAAGCGCTACTCCACACTGCAGGCACCCTGACCTCGTCTTTTTTCTGTGGGATCGTGAGTGTTGTTGAACAGGGCCTCATACTGCGGCTTCATTGGTCCACTGTACCCACGATTCAACCAGCCTCAAAGGCACATACTGCTGAAAAAGCTCTAAAGGGGTAGTAGATAGACCCCGTACTGTTGCGGCGCGGTAGGGCACGTCGAGGGGGTTGAATTGGCCCGGTGTGCCCCTTTCTAGCGGAGGCGATTCGTGTGGGCGTACAGTTGCGTTATCACACCTCTCGGGCCTACATTGAGCTGTACAGGCGCTATCAAGGTCTTCGGGAAGTACTGCGACGGTGATATGTGAAAGCGCTGACGAATCAGACGCATGAGAGTCGCTTGAGGACATCGCGACAGTTGCCCATATGTAGAAATGTTAGTTGTGGTGGTGAACGCAGCTGGGAAAATATAGGGGTTGATGACGTACCGTCATGTATTCCCGCGGTGAGGGGGCAAAAATGGGTCAAAACTGGGCATAATGTACCTGTTGCCAATTGGCACTCGATGGGATACCCCTTAAACGTCGTCCCTCTTACTAGCGCAGCAGTGCCCGTCTAGGCTAGGTCGGCGAGTCAGGTCAAGCTGTGTGCGAGGTGGTCGAGTAGTTAAATAAACAAATGTTCCGATGAGCTCAAATTTCGGATTGACTGAGGAACGCACTGTTCGATTCTCCTTTCAGGCAGGGGCGTGAATTATAAAGTCAGCAAACCCCCTCATAATTCTTTCCATTTTCCCCCCAGCGGTTTGAAGTAATTTCGTGGATGTCCAGAGTGATCGCTCCCCCTCTCCCACCACATTCCCTCGGTACGAAGACTCGAGAGAAGTCCGGTCCTCCTGCAGGATTCCGACTCAGTTTTTCTTGACTTCAGACGAATTAAGCATGCCAGCGTATGCATGAGAAGATCCAAGATTCTCGAAACGAAACACCAAGTTTGATACCCGTTTCTCAATTGGTGAAGCTGGTGTCTGACTCGTGGCATCACAGTAGCATGGTCTTTTTCCCACTTGATTGATCAATTCTTGTGTACAGACTTTTCAACCCTTATCATCTGCATAGAATCAGGAAGACCATGGCAAAGATACAACAATCTCGTGTGCTCACTGAGTCCTGGATATCGCCCTACTTACAGATTAATACGGCTTCGCTTTGACATAGCGAGCTTGGAAAAGGCTGTTCGGAGCTGCCGGGATTAGCAAAGTCCGTTACCACAGCGGGCCCCACGGCTCCCACGGGGACTTAGGAGAGTGAGTGTGATGAACCCCTGGCCCTACCTTACTAGTAACTTACACGTAATCTGTGTGTGTGTGTATGTTATATTTAACGCCGTGGCGGCAAGGGCGCAGCCGCCCTTGCGGCCGACCTCCCGAAGGGTATATGGCGTGGAGAGCCGTCGCCCTATAACTATTGCTAGATACAGTTCAAATCGTCCTCCAAATCGTGCCTTATGGCTACTATACGTTCTATCTGTCCCTGGTTCCCGCTGGTGCCCCAGTTCCATTCTTGAATTTTGCGGCTTAAGGCCGGATATGTCTGGAGAGGGCGGCCTGCCGAAACAGGCCCCTCGTACATGTTCTGATTTGTACAAGACCATTCCTGCCCCAGTACTTGGTTGACGACGTGTACTCGCCGCATATCCACTTTTTCTTGGTCGGAGGGTGTGGATATGAAAAAACCCTGGCGAGGGCCCGGAAAGGGTCCTAGGCCCCGCATTGGGCTCTGCCCTACCCTTCCCACAGGTAGTTAAAGCAGTTGCCGGCGGCTGGAATCGAACCAGCGACCTCTGGGCTCCAGAGGCCTTGCCAGGTGTATGCCACTACACCACGCCGGCTACACGTAATCTGTCTGCAGGCCAAGAAACTCAGTTATCCTCAGCAATGCTAAGTCAGGACTTCCAGTTGATCCGAGTTCACCGCGAATATCGGGACATAAGCCAGATCCGCTTAAGCCGGGAGCTAGGGCCAGTTCTGATTTGGCGCGCCGCGCAGATCAAGAAGCGAAGGCTATCGTACAGAGAACTCTAAGCGTAAAATTGCCTGGGTTGTAAATCCTCTGAGCTTGTATGATGGATCCTGGCTATAAGGTAGGAAGAGAAGCCTTGATGTGCGGAGTATTGGATCTTCACAGGTCTGAGGCTTTCCAGGATAACAAAGACGGACGACGCATCTGCATAGCCAGCGATGTTATACACTCCAGTACATGTACTCCGTATAGTTCTGTAGCACCAACTCTCTCGTACCGAGTATTCGGGTTCGCTGCGAGCGATTCGGTGCAACGCCCGAACTATGATCTCCTGTTTGGCAATTATTACTCTGCTACATGGGACGGAGATTGGGTAGTTGACTTTACGCTTACCTGAGCTTTGAGCGATGTAGCCGCCGGCGAACGTGGGATGCGTGGATAGTTGTCAACGACTAGATTAAATCTGATTCGTGTATATAAGGCCGCTAGAATAGGTGACCCTGCAAGCCGTGCTTCGTTAACGATAGAGTTTTGCGAAACCATTTTTCTGTTACAGGAGGAAAGTTTAAATCGCGCTTGTTCAGAAAACTGTGGGAGGGAAACACCAATTTGGGACAAATAGGAGTGTTAGGCACGAATTGATCGGTAGAAATATTGGTTCTCATCCCACTTTGCCGAAACAAAGGCCAGGCAGTCCCTGACAATCTTTCGGGTATCATGTCCCCCAAGTGCCCAATGCTCCCTCCCCGACCGTCCGGTCCTTTCTTATTCTCCAATGTCCGCTGTTGCTGTCGTTGTTCCCAAAATTTCCTCCTGCACATGTCCTACTTGAGCCGCTTCTGATAGAGACAATATATTGAGGCTACTGCCCGCAATTGCTGTCGCACCAAAAGCCCCTTGCAGAGAGTCACAGTGGCCCCTTTAGCCCCTGAGGCAATCAACCATTGAACCTCGAAAGCTTGTCGGAATACCCTAGATGGATCCTCATGGAGACTCCGAACCCAAATTGACGGGTTGAAACAGCTTGATGATTTTAGAGTCTGTTCGGTTTCGAATGGGACGGTCATGCTGTTCATCAAAAGTATATAGCTCGACGTTGCTGCCACCGGGGACTTCAGATGATTCAAGTTAGGCACAAGCTTCGCTTTTCTCAACTTCAAGTCACTCCTTTTTGACCTTTTTCACACTTTGTTGACCAACTCAGCATCTGCACTTTGCCCATCATGGCGCTTTCCATTCTTTCCGCTACTCTTCTTCTCACCAGTCTCGTCTCCGGTCAGGCGCCTGGCAATCTTACCGATGAACACCCCAAGATCGAAACCTTCCGCTGCACCGTCAAAGATGGTTGCCAGAAGAAGACCAACTACCTCGTCGTCGACTCGAGTCAGCATCAGATCGAGACGTCCAGCGGCGTGAGCTGCCTTACCGACAACAACCCGCCCAACTCCACTGCCTGTACCACTCCCGAAGAGTGTGCGACCAACTGCCACATTCAGGGTATTTCTGATTACAGCACCAAGGGTGTCACTACCCACGGCACGGACATTCGTCTAACCATGTTCAACGCCGACGATCAAAAAGTGTCTCCCCGTATCTACCTGCTGGAGGAGAACAAGCAGCACTACGAGATGATCCATCTCACGGGATCTGAATTCAGCTTCGACGTCGATATGGTCAACTTGCCCTGCGGCATGAACAGCGCACTCTACCTGTCTGAGATGCTTCCGGACGGTGGCAAAAACACCAGCTCCTTGAACAAGCTTGGTCCCGCGTGGGGCACCGGCTACTGTGATGCGCAGTGTTTCAAGACCTCCTTCATCAACGGAGTTGTAAGTCCCCTTGATACACTTGCCCGGCGCGATGAATTAGGTACTAACACGATAAACAGGGAAACTTTGAGCAAAAGGGCTCTTGCTGCAACGAGCTTGACATCTGGGAGGCCAACTCCCGCGCAACTCACATCGCCCCTCACCCTTGCAGCCAGCCCGGCCTCTACAAGTGCACTGGCGAGGAATGCGAGAAGGCTGGCGTCTGCGATGAGTCCGGCTGCGCTTGGAACGCCAACCGTTTGAACGTGACCGATTTCTACGGCCGAGGTAATAACTACAAGGTCGACACCACCCGCAAGTTCACCGTCGTCACGCAGTTCCCCGCCTCGAACGGCAAGCTCAAGGAGCTCCGCCGCATGTACGTCCAGGACGGCAAGGTTATCCAGAACAACGTCGTCAACATCGAGGGACCCCCGAAGATCAACTTCATGAACGATGAGTACTGCCAGGCCACCGGCGCCTCCGACTTTATGCGGTTGGGTGCTATGGAGGGCATGGGCGGCGCCATGTCGCGTGGTATGGTTCTGGCCATAAGCCTGTGGTGGGATGACTCGACCTACATGGAGTGGCTTGACCAGGGCAACAACGGCCCTTGCAACGCGACTGAGGGTAACCCCACGGTTATCAAGTCGATCGTGGCCAACCCTGAGGTGACGTTCAGCAACATCCGCTTTGGAGAGTTGAACTCGACGATGAACATGAGGCTTTAGGCTACAATATTAATTGAACAATACTAGCCTTTGGCATACTTGCATTGTCGTCTCTGTTACTACGTCTGGGTATCCGTCGGTGTTTCCTGTGACCGAATCTGAGTCATACTTCTGAAATTGCGCCGAAGTCTTCATGACATGCTAAATACAAGCTTGAACTAAAGCTTTAGGAAACATGGCTTGAGAACTGAGTGATGCCTGTTGCCAAAGCGCGCTCAGTTGGGAAAATCTCTCATACTATAATCTCATCCAAGCGATCAGCTCAGCACTTTTTCATAGTTGAACCAATGATCTCAGCGGCTTGCTCGGCCAAAGCGTAGACGGCCACTTGCAGGTTGGCCGAAATCGAGACAGGAAACACAGATGTATCAACAACGCGAAGACCCGACACCCCAATCACGCGCAAGTCTGTGTCCACAACGGTACCCATGGAGGCTGTGCCTGCAGGATGGTAGCATTCTCTGTGATATGTGTTAGAAAAAAGTGTCTTCATCACCAGGAACGAGTCACTTACCGTCCCATCTCACGCACACGAGCATCGATTTGTTCGTCTGTAGAATTCACCATCAACGTTTCTGCCGCCAACTCGCCGGCTACCACCTCTCTTCCTAGAATAGTGTCGTTGGACTTCAGCAATCTGATGTTGCGTCTGATGGTCTCTCGAGCGGCGTAGCGATCGACGTTGGTACCCAGAAAGTTGGGATCGATGAGTGGGGCATCCTTGATGTCGGAGGATTGTATGGTGACAGAACCTCGGGCAGATTTGAAGAAAACGACCGAAATCATCAACACGGCTGAACCATCCGCTGACACACCCGAGTACTGAAGTAAGTGAGACGAATGAGCGCGATCTTGCTTCAGCAAGGGGTGCACAGCAGGATCTGGGATCGATCCCTCGTCTTCGGTGATAGCAGCAGCCAAACCTTCTTTCTCGAGAGAAGTGACGGTCATGAAGTCAATGAAAGCCCCTGGCGCGTATTGAGACTGGTTAAAAACAGGGTTGCCGGACTCCTTGGCGTATCCCGCAGATGCGTCCTTCAGCTGCCAAATCGTTGGGATCGGAACATGATCGTGGAAGTTCTGACCGATCGCTGGCTGGTCTAGAAAGATAGGAACATCAAACTTCTTCAAGGTCTCGGCGGGGCCGATGCCTGAAAGCATCAGAATCTGTGGCGTGCGGTACGCCCCTGCAGACAGAATGGTTTTTCGTCCCAAGATATCGGTTCCGTTCTCAAGCCTGACCCTACGAGCGACGAGGTGGCCATCTTTCGGGTGCTTCTCAACCAGAACTTTGGCGACCAAGCTATCAGTCAGAACCGTAATCCCCTCGAGAGAATACACGAGCGAGGCAAGTTGACGTTTGCCCTGATCCCTGTTCTCCTGAAGATCTGCAACACCAAGGTTGTTCCCGGCATTGTTGTTCAGTTGAGGGAGTGCGTCGATGCCGAGCTCTTTCCAGGATTCAAGTAGAGGCTCACGCAGAGGGAAAACACGACCCGTAGATCCCGGCGACTGAACTTTGACAGGGCCGGTGTGTCCGTGCGAAAGAGGGTTGGTGAAGTTATCGAAAAGCGCCTCAGTCTTCTTCATATACGGAAGTTGACCTTCATAGCTCCATCTTTGGTCGCCTACACTCTCTGCCCAGATGTCATAGTCGACCTTGTGACCGCGGGTCCAGGCAGCTTCCTAGTCGTTAGATGACGAACATCGATTTTGCACCATGGCAATTGAACTTACCTCCATTGATAATTGTGCCACCCCCAAGTCCTTTGCCGACAGGCGATGCAATCTCCCGTTTGTCGAGATGGGTTTGTGGGATAGAAGAGAAACCCCAGTCGTATTCGCCGCCAATGGCATTGTTCATATCAATCCATTCGATGTTTTCGACAGCGTGGGTGTTGGTGCCAGCTTCAAGGAGCAGGATCTTGAGGGTCGGGTCCTGTTGCAGTAATCTGTTCGACACCACGGAGCCGGCGATGCCGCCACCAACCACGATACAGTCCCACAGAGTCATCTTGATCGGTTGGTACCTTGAGTCTGAAGGAAGCTAAACAAAGAGAGAGAGGAACCAAGAAGACGCAGTTTGTCGCGAGGCGTGAGCCTGGACGGGACTGGGCGGGTACACAAATGCTGGCAATGTCTTTGAGAAAGTGGACGCTGACGTATTATTGCCGTTAGGATCTCGACCGAGCCCTCTATCTCGGTTCAGCTCTCAATCTTGGTTCACCAAGAAATATTGGAACCCAAATTTCAAGGTGCATAATACGCAGAATCCGCAGGTACGAAGCCCGCTGAAATTTAACGTGCCATCTGACCTAGCCTGCTTTCTCTGCGCGAGGGTGATGGGCCACTGGGCGTGCTTGACGCAGATGCTACAACAGTGCGGATTTGCCACCGTGATTACATGGACACGGGGGCCCACTGTCCTGCATTATGAAATGAGAGATGCACGGCGGATGAATACTATGTTGAGTTGAAGAACCCGGAGGTTGGGACACGCAGACTCCTGTCTTAATCGCCGGGGATGGTGTAGGTATTTCTCCAACAGGAATGCCTCTCAACATGGAATGACGGACTCATTCCGCTGAGGCCTGGATTGAGCAAACATGGCATGGATTCAATGTGGCGGGATTTCACGTGTCTAGAAATTCGAGGCCCAGGAGCCCTGTTCCGCAGCGAACTGTTCCAACTTGTTCGTCATATAAACACTGATCAGTGATTTCCGGCGAAACCCCTCGGAATCCCCCTTGTTTCCCTTGTCGAGACACGGCCCTGAGTACGGAGTAGCCCGTGAAGATACAAAATTCATTCAGCTGTGCCTCTTCCTGTGAGTGGGTTTAAAGATACTAGACAAGTGAAAATGTTTGCTTCAATTTACAACTTGCCGCAATAGGTAAGGTATGGGAGTCCACGTTATGCGGTTGGTTCAAGGCTACAGTCGGACTTGTGGAATGTGGAACCCTAACCTCTGGCCGACAGGGGCTTGAGCGAAGTTGCCAGGATATTTCTGTTGGTTCTGTTGGTAAACTGTATCGCTTGCGTGATGTGACCACTTTATCACAAGGAACCGTTGAACGTGAACGAGGAAGTGCGAAAATTCCATGGAAGAGAGTTCGCTTAGAGACAACGCCTGGATTTTGTCTAGATAAAAAAGCAATTTGTCTTGGCGACCTCGGCTGATAGCCACAGGTTATTTGTTGTTGTTGTTCTATTTAACGCCATGGCGGCAAGGGCGCAGCCGCCCTTGCGGCAGACCTCCCGGAGGGTATGTGGCGTGAAGGGTCGCAGGCTCTAGCTATATACTATATAGTACACGCCGTATCCTGACGTCCTCCAAGTCTTGCTCGTGAGCTACTATGTGCCACAGGTTAGAGAACGGAACGAAAAGATCAGAAACCCCTCCAAGAATGATACAGTCTTGTAGTAGATCTCGCTGGATTCTCTCCATGATTTCCTCCATTCGAGCCACTTGATGACCATACTATACATCTCAAGATGGACGCAGTTTTGCCCATCTTCTTTGAACTACGAGAAGAGTCTCCGACCCTGATTACAGACAAATACCCGCCGTTGACTCGTGATGGAGCCTCGCTCGTGTTAACAGCGTGCATCATGATGGTGCTGACAACGCTGTGGACAATCATGAGACTTATTTCTCGTCGCATCACCGGAATATCCTTTCATACGGAAGATTACCTCGACTTTTCAGGACAGGTATGCCATCAGCAAAGATACTCGTTTTGAGCAAGTACCTTACTCACCGAACAGCTTCTCTACTACGGCGTTGCGACATGCTTCATTTTAGGTAGGAATGCTCACTCTGTCATCCAAATCGAGGGATTAAGCATCTAACGCGTTTGCGATTAGGAGTCATTCTCGGTGGCGCCGGCCACGACGTTAGCGTTCTAGACCCGAACCTTCACGTTTCGCACTTTGTCAAAATCTTTCTGGCTGCACAAGTTATGTACGCCACCGAGCTTCTGGCAATCAAACTCAGCATCATAACCTTGATGCAGCGCATCTTCTCGCAGAGTAGCTCATGGTTCCGTGCAACAAGCTGGGTTGCTGTTGGGCTGTCATGTATTTGGGCACTATATACAGCCCTTCTTGGCTTCGTTATCTGTCAGCCAATTCAGAGTGCTTGGACATAAACGTCACGAAGACTGGCTGCGGGGACTACACCCTAGCTTTCAGCGCAGTTGCCATTTTTGATATTATCACCGACATAGTCATTGTGGTGCTTCCCATTAAAGTTGTTAGCGGGTTGCAAATGGCTAGAGCCCACAAGGTTGCCCTTTGTGTGGTATTCGGAGCAGGTTTGATATGAGTAGACACTTTGAATTGTGTGACACCATGATCATTGAAGCGCATTGAACTTAGTCTCAACTCGATCCGGTGTATTTGCTCATTCGAGTTGCGGAAAAAATCGTGTGCTGACCCGAGCTTGTTCTAAAGCACCATCATCTTCTCAGGCGTGCGACTATACTACACCCTAACGGCAGATTTCGTCAATATCACTCGAGGCTTTGCTTCTGCCTCAATAAGCGGAGTACTCCAGTCAGGAATTGCTGTCATGAAGGCTTCCAGCCCCATGTTACGCCCAGTCTTTGACAGAACTATTGTTCGCTGGTTGAGTTTGTCGATTCGCAGCAGTGGGCGCACACAAAACACAACCCAACCCCTACAGGATCTCAGGGACATATCGTCAAGAGCAGTAAATCCAGTCAGCTTGGAAGCCATCTTCGCGGGGACGGCTTCAAGCAAATGTCCGATAGTGATGAGAACCTCAGTTGGGAGATGCAGGGGCTAGGCAGCAGGACAAATTGCAGGACTGGAAGGGTGTCACAGGCTCAGATTTCTGCCGGAATAGCCTTGCAGAATGTGAATACCAGATCCCCGACTCCGGATACTACTGGAATTGCTACCACACGAACAGTAGCTGTGGAAAGACACAGTGTTGGTTGAGACAGTGTAGCTAGCAGGGCCTAGGAAACAGGTTCAGAGGAAATCTCCGACTGGCATTATGGACAGTTGTGAATCGTAGCATCTCAATGAATTTCAGCATGCGCGAACTTTGAGCATGTAGTCAAGTCACACATTTGGAGTCTTCCGCATCCTACGCAATCAGAGTGAACAAGTGACCTGGTACCTTTTCACAACATTTGTCCATGGGCCAGTCTAATGTGTACGCAAGCGTTGTTAAGTTGAGAACAAGAAAATTAAAATGAGACTTGCAAACTAAGTATATTTATCAGGTGATTGATAAAAATATCGACCTTCGACCTGCTAGATGTCAACATGCGCAAAAGTCAACTCGGCACGTACTACACGGAGTCGGCTTCACGGCGCCAAGTGTTTGTTGCTTCAGAAAGAAAATGTGAGCACTTGTCCAGAGTCTGTATCAATCATAACTGACGGAGCAGAAGATTCGGATCACACCATATTCTTACCGGCGGTGACTTGATAGTCCATGTTCTTTGTCCGGGACGCTCCCTACTACTCACTTAACCACCTCGACAATTCATATCAGATCCAAATCAAGTCGAACGTGCATATCAAGTAGAAGTGAGCTATGTATTTAAGCAACAAGGGCCTGACCACTGCTTTTGGTGAGTGATCCGAAGACTAGGATGGCACTGCGGCCCGACGGTCGTGACGCGCGTGGCACGGTAGAAATTGCTTCGGAGAATAGTACTGGCTGATGAACGAGCTGAAGAGGCTGCATAAAGAACCAACAGCCAAGGACAAACATGGAGGGCAATTGAAACCAACATAAGAAGGCGCAGAGGCATAGGGTTGAGATGGAGGGTTTGGCGATGTGTCTGGCATCTTTATAAACGTCAAAGACCTCGCAAGCTTTTTTGGAGAAAGCTTCTTTGTTTCGATGATCATAGGTAGGTGTCGTACCTTTCCCAAAGACAGCTGAGCAAACAGCCAGGTATTGAGATCAGTCGAAACAGAGTCTTGGGCGCCATCGAAGGCGGTCGTTCGCAAATCACAGTTCAGCGGTGATTTACTACATTTCATATGAGATTGCAAATATTGAATGAACCAGAAATGCTGTTGGATCAAGGTCCACTTGCTCAGGCGACTCGTGAGAAGGGTTTAACTTCTTCTTCAGAACGAATGATAATGATGAAAGCATATGTCTGACGAGAACCGCCAAAGTTCTATCTATATCAAGCCATTCAATGACTAATTTAGCCGTGTCAAAGTCCGCTTGGAAGCACCCCCGCTATATAGGCCTTAGGCAGGTCACTTGAATGAAGTAAAGCGGCTCTCACATCGTGGTTGTGTCTTGATGGATGCTCGGATCTTGATATTTTCGGTGTTGCCGGTAACGTGCATGATAAGCGAGCGGATCGGACAAGCGAGCGGATCGCTCAACAGCGACCGCCACATCTTTTTCTTTCCAACACATATCCATCCACCACAATGATACAGTCATCAAACAAAGAAGCTGGCATAATTCTAGCAGTTCAAGCTATCGAAAAAACACCAAATTTGAGTATTAAAGGTGCAGCTCGGATCTACTCAGTGCCATTTTCAACCTTACGCGCCCGTATCAATGGAAGAACTTCGCGACTTGAAACCGTACCAAACTTACGGAATTTAACGTTGCTCGAAGAGGATACGCTAGTTGAGTATATTATCGACCTAGATTCTCGATTATTCCCTCCTCGGATCAGTGGTGTAGAAGAAATGGCTAATCGACTACTCGCCGACCGCGGCGCGCCCCCAGTTGGGAAGTGCTGGGCTTCGAACTTCGTCAAGCGACAACCACAGCTCCGGACGCGCTTTTTTCGCAAATATGACTATAAGAGGGCCCAATGCAAAGATCCAGATGCGATAAACGCGTGGTTTCGCCTTGTGGCGAACACAATCGCGAAGTACGGCATCGTGGACTCCGATATCTACAACTTTGATGAGACTGGGTTTATGATGGGCCAGATTGCATCCGGAATGGTTGTCACGAGTGCTGAAAGGCGTTCAAACACGAAAATGACGCAGCCTGGCAATCGTGAATGGGTTACAGTCATTCAAGCCATCAGTTCGTCAGGCTACAGCGTTCCGCCGTACATCATCGTCACAGGCCAATATCACCTCTCCACCTGGTACACAGAAACAGGTCTCCCATGCGACTGGGTCATTACAACGTCTGAAAACGGATGGAAAACAAATGAAAGAGGCCTAGACTGGCTCTAGTACTTTAATCAGCATACAAAACCGCGTACAACTGGTAGATATCGCCTCCTCGTCATTGATGGGCATGAAAGTCACCACTCTGCGGACTTTGAGATATATTACAAGGAAAACAATATCATCATACTCTACATGCCGGCCCATTCGTCTCATATAATTCAGCCCTTAGACTTTGGGTGTTTTGGGCCACTAAAGACGGCTTATGGTCGACAAATTGAGGATAAGATGCGCCGGGGTAATACCCATATTACGAAGGAGGACTTCTTCCCTGCATTTCGCAACGCTTTCACGCAAGCCCTAACAGTAAAAAACATCCAGGGAGGTTTCAGAGGGGCTGGGCTTGTTCCGTTAAGTGCTGAAAGTGTGCTTTCGAAGCTGGATGTGAAGTTACACACTCCAACGCCCCCAGGGTCTCTTCCAGCAACACCCCCCGCGTGGACTTCTCAGACACCAAACAACCCAACAGAGGCAAATTCTCAGTCAACTTTGATTAAAGATCGAATCTTAAATCATCCAAATAGCTCGCCAACACCAGCTAATAACGTAGTTAACCATATCCTCAAAGGGACACTAGCTATGATGCATCGTAATACTCTTCTAGAGGCTGAGAATAAAACCCTTCGGGAGGAGAATAATCTACTTAGCCGACGGCGGAGATCTAAGAAAACTCGTCTCAGGCAAGGAGGGAGCCTTACTATAGCTGAGGCAGATGACCTTCAATCACAGAGAGAGGCTACAGCTCAGATTGAGGAGGAAACGCGCCGGAGTAGTGGCCGTCGGCCGAGGACGGAAACAGGTCAACGGCGATGTGGCGTCTGCGGGAACACTGGACATAATGCGCGCACATGTCCATTTCAGAGAGAAATGTCTAGAGAAGAGGATTATGGATAGTTTCAATTAATTAAACTTTGTTGATGTTGATCAAGATTTACATACGTGGAGTGGTTGCTGTCGAGCGATCCGCTAGCTTGTCCGATCCGCTCGCTTATCATGCACGTTAGTCGATTAAATCCTTAGTCTAAGATTCGGCATTGTTTGCTTGCCAAGTTACCCTCGTGCCCGCTTGCTCAGTAGTTCCTTGTGCCCGCGCCCAAAAACCCGTCACCCGAGGCACCTAGCGATCTGATCCCTCAAGCAGAAGCTTGCCCAAATACGTGGAATATGGAGCTCCAAATTATGTGAATGTTTGCCTCAACTACCCTTTGTTATGATTGGTTCAGAAGCGGTCCAAACCAACCGCCTGATTCAAGGTTGCTATTGTTCTTGACAAGTTTGGGATGACATACCTTGCAGATCGTGCTGACAGGTGTAACAGAACTCTTGGCTCCATTTCCGCCTTTTCGTTGCTCAGCTGGTCCCTTTCCTCCACCAAATGTAGTGCGATCGTTGTTCGTCCGAAAAGGCGGACGGTGGACCTCCAGGAAGCAATCAAGTCCCCCAAATACCTGAGATGTCAATGTTTGGAGGTTCACATCACTTCAAAAGCAGTAATAAGATATCCAGGAACCCTAACACGAGCTTTCTCAACCGAAAGTCAAGCTGTCATTGCAAGAAACGCCTCAAGAGTGTTTTAGTTCGATTCGTCCCCAGCTTCCCGCCGTATGTGCCACACTTGAGGGTTGTGTTCTCCAACAACACATCGCAGCTTCGATGCCGATTCTATTCAAGAGGCAACAATTTCGAACACGATTATGACCGCAGTCGTGTCACTTCTGCTCGACCAGCATGACTATGCAGTCCAGGCCCGCAGAGTCCCGCCCCCTTATCCGCCAATGACCCTTGATGGGCGAAACCTTGTCATTGTATCTTGCATCATGATGGCACTCACAACCATTTGGACTATCATGCGCATTATGTCGAAGTATATCGTTGGCGCGGCCTACCTTGTTGAGGATTATTTCTACTTGCTTGGCCAGGTAAGCTTCGTCGTAGACTTCAGTCTATGCTGGGCGCGATTGGCTGATTCCCGGCTCTTCTAGGTCTTCTTCTATGGAGCTGCGATCTCCTGCATTCTCTGTGAGTCAATAATTTTACAAATAATTATCTGAGGCATCAAAAGACGATGGTTTAGCTGACAGACGACTATTGTTTAGCTGTCGTTCTTGGAGGCGCTGGACACAATATTTCTGATCTTGAACACAACATCCACGTCAACTGCTTTTACAAGACATTCCTGGCTGCACAAGTCACATACGCCGGCGGACTACTAGCTTTCAAACTGAGCATTATTTTGTTGACCCAACGCATCTTCTCGGATTTCGGTCGCTGGTTTCGGATTTCGTGCTGGGTCGCAATAGGGCTCTCCATCGTCTGGGGACTTTACACTGGCCTCGTTGGACTGATAATTGCAAAGACCAAGCCGGGCAATGGAGGAAGCAAGCTTCTGTTCAGCCTGGTGCCTATTTTCGACATTCTCACCGACGTTATCATCGTTGCTCTGCCGATGAAAGTCGTCAGCACCTTGCAAATGTCCAGACCGCATAAGATTGCACTCTACCTCATATTTGGTGCCGGAATCATGTGAGTGATACTATGTCAAGATTTCATGTCAATACTTTATGGTTGAAGGCTCTACCCCGAGGACAAAGATACTGACGCAACAGCGAAACACAGCACCATTCTGTTTTCCGGCGTCCGTTTATATCATACCCTTACCGTCGACTATGGGAACATAACGAAGAGTTTTGCCTCTGCACCTTACAGTGCTGTACTACAGAACGGCATTGCAGTCATGGTGGCATCCAGCCCTATCCTTCGGCCCATATTCGACCGAACGAAAGCCAGGTGGCTAAATCTATCAATCCGGGGCAACGGAAGGACTATCGCCACGGGGCATGTAAGGACTTTAAGAGGTCCCGCGACCACGCGCAACCGTTCTGATGCACGAACGACTCTTAGTCGAAGCGATGGTTTTAAGCAGATGACGGACAACAGCGACGCGGATGACAGCCTTAGTTGGGAACTGGAGGATCTCGAGACCTTGAGGCGAAAGAGTGACCAGGCACAAATTTCGGCTCATGCAGAAGCCCAAGCACCTGATCGTGTTAGTCCTCTCTCGCTTGGCGGAGGAATTTCTGTTACACATACTTTTACAATAGAGTCTCATGTGACTCGGCTGCCCTCGTTTTCTGGTTTCGTTTCCACGGATGTTCAGCCCAGCAAGGCCGACGTAGCTTAGAGGAATACGAGAACGGCAACTTATCATGATCAGAGAGTGGTTGTGGTCGTCGTGGCAGAGGTCCAAGAGAGCTTTCATACCCCGATCTCTGCACCCGGTCACGGTATGGATGATGTAGCTGGGTCTTTCTTGAGTGACAAGATTTGAGTCAATAAAACGATAGGCGTTTGGAGGTATACATTAAGGAAGGATAGCAAGGTCGCGTTTTCAATCTCATCAGACTAACTAAAAGATCCGATTTGACAGCAAAAGTTTCTGCTGGTACCTCTCGTAATTACCGCAAGTGCTTCTCTACAGACCCCAACCTTAGTCGACATTTCTCGACCAAACTCCAGGGCCAACGGCCTGGTATCATGCTCTACCCGCCTCGTCAACTTCTCTTACGTCTTGCTCTACGCTCTTCGCATCGTCGGATTTCAGGGCCGGGGCTTGGGCCAGACGATCACCTTCATAGCCACTAAAAAACAAAGTGTCAGCGTCGTCGTAGGCCGAGGATAGGAATTTCCTCGATAAACTTACAACAGAGCATCCATCTGGTCGATTGTGACACCTTTAGTTTCAGGCAGGAAAAAGAATGCCCAGACAGTAGCTGTGAGCATCCAACATGCGAAAAAGAACCAAACACCGTAATCGAGACTACTGAAGATGTACGGAAGAGCTTTTGTGATGATGAACTGGATCAGCCATTGGGTGAAAGCGGCAAAGGTTCCAGTCAAATTGCGGAGAGCACCGGGAAAGATCTCGGCGGAGACGATCCATGGGATGCCATTCAGACCGAAAGACCAGCTGTATTAGTATGTGAGTACCACTGTTCTCTGTCTCGCTTGCGAGGACACAACTTACAATACTGAGTAGATCATGATGGCAGCGGTAGCAGCGCGGCCACCCGCCTCCGTCGAGGCAGAAAGCTCTCCTCCAGCTGCGATGATTGGTGCCGGATTGCCAACCTTAACATAGGCGCCCACGAACCATAAGCAGAGAGAGCAGGCTAAAGATGAAATGATGGTAGGTCTGCGTCTGCCCCAGATATCGATAAGTGCGCCGTAAAAAATGATTGACGCGACGGCCTTGACAAGACCGTAAATACCCGTGTACAGGGCCACATCACTGATGCCAATGGAGCCAAAAAGCATAGGAGAGTAGTAGTTGATAGCTGTACCGTGTTAGCAGTGGGTCAAATGAGATGATGACAACAAGAAACTCACCCGCGGCACCGGACATGTTCTGCAAAGCAAACGAGCAAAAGACCAGGAACAAACGGTTCCACATTCCCTTTCTTGAAAGTTCGTGCAGCGATCCTCGGATGTAGGCGTAGAACCCGCCGCCGTAAGTCGCCGCAACCGAGGCCTCCTCGGCCAATCTGGCACGGATCATTTCCACTTCCTCTTGCAGGTATTGATGATCAATCGGCAAATGTCGTAAAGCCACAAGGTTTCTGTTCGCTTCCTCTTCGCGCCCTTTGCGGTAGAGCCACAAAGGCGACTCATGAAGCAGAAATCCGCCGACCAATAAGGCTCCGGAGGGAATGAGCTGAATAGCCATCGGCACACGCCACGATGCTGAGCTAGTAGGGTTCATGTTCTGATTGATGCCGTAGTTGATCCAGAAGCCAATCAAAGATCCTGTTTGGTACGTGACCTCAAAAAGACCTGTGAGAATTCCTCGGATGGAAGGAACCGACAGCTCAGCGATGTAGGAAGGTACCGTGGCCGTGATCACACCACAGCCCCAGCCGGTGAGTGCCCTGCCAGCATACATGGAGGCGAGGTCGTTCGTGGCGGCTACCATTGGGATGGCGCCAGCAAGGAAAATGATGTTACTGATGATGAGCGCCCACTTGCGGCCAACAGACTCTGTGACTGTTGATGACGGACATTAGCTTCGGTGGTGGATTCTGATATTTACGAGGGATGTGGGGGCATACTGAAGAAACACATAAGTGCGCCCCCCAATGCGCCGGCTTGGAAGGCCGAGGTAATGTTGGATGATATCTCCTTGGATGTGGCCGGTGTGATGCCAAAGTCATTGACGAAGCTCTTGCGCGCAATGGTTGTTCCAATGAAAGCCGAGTCATATCCGAAGCTATCCAAGCCGAATTAGCATGTTCTCTCAGAGGGGCGGGACCAGACTGGATATTAGAGTAGGGACGAACAGCAAAGAGCCCATCGCAATGATGAAAGACTCTGTGTAGAGACGCCAGTTATATACCTCCTTCGGCGTAGGCCGATCCTCGACCGCGCGAAGTCCACCCATCTTCGCTGACTATTCCAATCTTCAGATCTTACTTCCCTCCTCAGATGTAGTTGAAAAGAAGGTTGCGCGCGCTTAGATTGGGCGAATAAGCACAGAGAAAGCGGTCGATACGAACAGAGTTTGAGAGAACGGCAGCGGTGCTACCAAGCTATGCAGCCCAAGGTTGTTGTACGCTACATAAGAGGGAGGAAACAAGACGAAGTCTCCATGAGAAGCGAGGTTTATCCTCGATTTCCGCACTTATCCCCGCAAAGTTCCTCCACCGTCCCACACTCGGATCATGGGGGCGGGGTGAAATCTGGGGAATGGCGCGCTAGCTTTGGTTGTCACTAGGGGAGTCGCAGCTGGCTGAGGGATTTGGTAGCAGATTTACAACCCTCGCCCTCATTGACCCGAAATCGACGAACCTCCAAGGCACGGTTGCACCAATTAGACCACTCAAGGGGGCATCACGCCGATCTGACCCGAGAGGCAGGGGAAGTCGTGAAGGATGGGCACGTCAATTGGAGAAGACGGACAAGCGACAGTGGGGTTGTTGGAGTTGAGTTGTATCCGGATTGGATAACATTGACCCCTTCACTTCTTCAAAGGCAAGGGCAGGAAACGCCTTGGTGCAAGCATGGAGATCCAGGAGCGGTGAGGAGGACCCAAGTAAGAGACTTCACTTGTGAGATGACAGTGTTATTGGCAAGTTGGCAATTCTTCCCATACGGGCGTCCCAAAAGTGGGTGTTTATTAGTAAAGCCGATAGGCGAGCGTATTTCGAACGTTAGCCGCGCGTCGGTTCTCGTGAGAGAAGTCTCAAAGGGCGTCATGCCTGCATCTCTAGCTGGCATATATTCTCCGGTTTCCGTGACTTGAGAGAATGACGGACGAGAGCTTCTTCACCAACTGCGTAATTTCAGTAAGCAATTTTTATTGATGAACGAGCCTCCATCCTCCGAGTAACACTTAACCTCAACCCGCGCGGCTCAGTTCATGACCACGCGGCAAGACTCTGAAGCTCGCCCCCCCCCCGGCAATCTTCTCATCGGCCAATACCGAACAAGTTTCTAAACTTGCCCTGGACGACCCCTTCTGCAGATCTCTCTTGGGACAGAGCCTCACAAGCCTGTTGCTTGTCACCCTTTCATTGTTCACATCCTCAACAATAGATCGCTGGGATGTGTTCGGAACACCTGTGCCGCAGCTACTGCTACGTCTTTCCGATGAAACCTCCTCTGCACGCTGCTCCTCGACGTCTCCCGCTCCATCACGTTACCGATTTTTAATCCTTTTCAAGATGTGTCCAATGTCGTAGTGCCTCTTCCTCCATTCTTGCCCTTGTTCTCTTGCTTTCCTCTCAAAATTCTCCAAATTCTCGAAAGGAAACTGGTATGCCGCATGTTATTTCTCTATGTTGAGTTCTTACTATGATCCAAACCCCAAATCCACAGCTGATCAATCCAGATCATGAAAGGTAAAGGAATGTCGGGGTGTCGTCGTTTTGAGAAGCGCGAGATGACTTGGTGCTTTAAAAAGCATCTTTCACGGTAGCAAAGTTATTTAAGTATGCGTGGTTAATACTGTCACGTACGACGTTAAATATCTTAAAACAAATTTGTGGGAGACCTCTCGACATAGCGACTTGGTAAATCGCCCATGAACAGATGAATAAGGGGGTCGTGGAGCTGGCGTATCCACAATTCATCCTTGAGTATATCGGAACATTTCTGGTCATCGTTCTCGACGGATCTCAACGTCGTCAAGAGAGTCTAGAAATCAGAGTCAGTTCATAGTGAGCAAGAACTGCGAATTTGTGGCCAACCGATATAACCTTCACCCAATCCATCTATAACTTGAGCATTAGCTTCAGCTTGGCCAATTTCTCTGATACTAATTTTAACTTACACAATTCGCAGGGAGATGTATCCATCTGAGATCCGATTCCGGATAGAATTCACCCTTGGTCCTGTTCGCCAACACCTTTTGGAGTAAGTAGGCGGCGTAGGCCCATGTAGTTCGACGCCAGTTCTTCTACGGGTACATTCTGCACTTGGTGAGCATCGCCAGAGGTTGTATCAGTGCTCTGGTGTTCATGAGAATAGAAGTCGACTATTGTCGCGTCAAATCCCGTTGTCTTTGGCTCTCTTTCAGGACGACTGTGTTTTGCAGCGGGTGCTGGCCGAGCAGTCGTTCTCGAGCTGGTAAGGATATCACCACTGTGGCTCATGAAGAGCCTGACAATAGCCTCATGCCCTGCCATCATCGCCACGTCCATAGGTGTTTTTCCGTCCTGATCGACCGTCTTTGTGTTGGCGCCCTTGTCTATCAGAAGACATTCCCCAAATGTGCCGCGTCACGTAGTGCCGTTCTGGCAGCTCCGTCAGCAAGGCTGATGTAGACTGTGTGCTTGAAAAGCAGTCGTACAACGAGCTCACTTCTTGATATTACCCCATTCTGGAAAGCGCTCTGCATAGAGTTCTGTTCCCACACTCTAAATATCCTCATTGCGGAATTTCTCAAGCAACGTCGAAACGTCAGGTGCGTGTCCCGCTGCACATGCTTCTTCCAACATGACCGTCAGATTGGCCAACCCGCTCAATTCAATGAACGTCTCATCACTGCTTAGAAGTTTCGCAAAGGTTTGGCGTCTATGCCAGTCCATCTATTGATGAAGTCCCGTGTCTACTCGAGGCTAAGAAAGGTTCGATTGCCCCATACAAGGCCAAGCTTGCGCAACTTAGCCTTGATGACTGTGATATCATTCGCCATGGGCAGTTCGCTGTGATTTTGGGCTCGTCCCCCTGTCTTGAGAAGTTGAGACAGATGAAGTGAAGGCATCCTCGTGGAATCCGCAACAGTAGTCATCTTGGAGAACCGAAAACTAGCATTGAAGTAAAACCATTATTGCATGAAGTCATAACCTTCGAGATCAAATTTATTGCAAAGGTCCTATATCTCCTTAACATTCTCCATTTTTCGGTGGAGGAATATGAGGTGCTTGACTGCCCATACGACGGCAACAACCTCCACGAAACATCTCTCCAGCTTGGCACGGGCTGTTAGTGCCATGCTAAGGAGGGGCCCCAGTCCCCGCGGTTTGCCGCTGCGCGCTGGGGTGGATTAGCTATACGCTAATCAAACCCTTAACAACGCACATTTTCCCCTCGAATCGAGCCGACGATTATTCAACCTAACGAGCCGCCGTCGACTCGAATTCGCCTTCCGCAGGCTAGACGAAGTCTTCCTGGTAGGGCAGGGAGCAGAGGTTCCATCTAGCCTCCCGAAGGAGACGGGCGACTTTCTTTCCCGGCGCAAGTGGCGCTTCCGGGCCCAAATTGAACATCACCGACCGACTTTTCGACTTCGCTCTCTCAGCACCTTTGCCCCTTAAACGATCGAAGACTCCCTCGAAGAGACGAAACGACCATTGGGTAGCGATGTATAGCCACGGCTATATACAGCTATGCTCGTTACAGAACCTAACAGCAAGCCCTACAACCTAGTCTTACGAGGTTTTGCCCCTTGTGGTTTCCCTTGTGGCGGTATTACCTATTACGATATACTCCGGACGGTTACTGGAACGTTGTGTAAACCAGAAGCCTGCGGGCTCTGGGTCGAAGGATAGGAGATACTGGCGGAATCGCGTTCTAGGGACGACCATAGCACTGTCTCGGGCAAGCCAGCGGCACCCAGAGACAGGTTAAACACATAGTTGCCTTTGGGCACGATTTGGAGGACGAGCTGGACTGTATCTAGTGATAGCTATAGGCCTACGGCCCTCCACGCCATATACCCTTCGGGAGGTCTGCCGCAAGGGCGGCTGCGCCCTTGCCGCTACGGCGTTAAAATACAACAACAACAACAACAACAACATACGACGGCATGTTGTTGTCATCGTAATCTTCCCTCAAGTCTTGGACTGCATTCCTCATGGAAGTCTCATAATCCGCAATTTCCCCGTTGGATGATATCCAGCCCAGATTACAGAGTGTGTCCAGTGTGACTCGGTGACTGTAGCCAAAGACATGTCTTCTTGCTTCATAAGGGACTCCCAAGTCTGAGTTATGGCAGGAATTTTGCTGAAACAAATACGCTTCTCAAGCTACAGATACTTTACGTCAAGTTGGTGGCTTCCGGTGACCCTTCCCGCCTCCGGAGTTTGATATTATCATATCTAAGTTGAACGAAGCTAAAAGCTTTCTCATGCAGAAGACCGGATGCGGAACTACCTTAATGCATATGATGATGGCTTGAAAGTAGCTATCAGGACGGATCTTCATTCTCTGTGCAAATTTATGAGAAACCCATCCGCGTGGGTATTTGGGGCAGTTACCACCGAAGTTTAAGTTGAAGAGTCTCCCGGTAAGAACTGATGTGCCTCTAGAAACGGGAATTTTTAGACTCCGAGAATATCCTTCCATATTGTTGTGTACTTACATAGCACGCTAATCATACATGTAGTCAGTACATCAGGTTGTGCATGAGTTTGGGGAGTAGTATTGCTATCTTATCAAAGGCATTTTTAAACGTTTCTTGAATTTTGTAAATTCCCATGAAGTTCAGAATTCTGAAGGTCATCTACGCAGTCTGTTACGGTATTTGTGAGATGTGTGGCCTGCGAACACACGTCCCTTACAACGCTCGAAGAACGTAGAAATGTCGCATATTTTGACTTGTTCCCCGGCCTGTCTGGGCTTCTCACGGAGTCAAAAGTGTAGAATGCCGTTGAAAATCGCCCGTACTTTCGAATCACACTCTTGCGCAGCGCAGCACGACATAGCCAGGTTCCCCGGGCTACAAAGTTTGGCGCCCGGTGGCTATCAACGGCTATGCCCGGCTCTTGGGTTGGACTGTGGCTGAAGAGAAAGCGTTGGCTTGAAAAAAGTCTGGTCTCTCTTCAAGTCTCTCTTCAGGTCTCTTGAAGACAGAGTAGAACCTTCTTTCAAACGGGAGTAAAACCACGGTTGGGGACATCAATGAAACGGAGAGCTTGAGGTGCGTCTGAATCGAGTGCGACCGCTTGCGACGCGTTTGAAGAAAGGTCCTTTCGTCAAGATGTCCGGTCTGTCGGCAACTGGGTAGAAGTCGTAGGCCCCACTAGTCGGCCGTTTTCCGAGCTAGATGGCACGATCTTTTCGAATTCAGCGAGAATAGGCAATGGGATTGACCTCTCAGAAGCTCTCAAAAGTCCAAATTCCCTTCTAGAAGAAATCTTACGTTGCTCATGACCCCAAACTGACTCTGTCATTCCACTTTGTTTCCCCACAATACCTCCGCAAAGTCATCTCACATCCTCCACAGAAAGTCTATTGGCCCCCATTGACTTCCGCCATCGTTCATGGGAACATCGTCCGAACTCATGACAGGAGAGGAGCTTTGACTTGAACGCAAACAACCAACCGAATGGGTTTGCGACCTTACGCAAGGCCAGGTTGGCAAGGGCACGAGTGACAAAAAGTGACAGAACCACTGGAGACCGGCGCTTGAAAGAGCCAAAAGAAGACCAAGTCCCAGCATCTCCAGATCGGGGAAACCCATCGTCCTGTGGTTTGCGGGGCACAGCTGGCGATACTCTCGGCCATTAAACCTTGTCCCTCACTCCGCACCCAGGGAATGGTAACAGCGAGCAAAGTGCCGTGGTACTGCGTGGTAATTACCATCTTCCCCACGGCATCATGCGCCAATTCGATGATCTCTGCCCAGCGGCCCTCGCTTGCCACGCTTTTTCTGCCTTGCGTATCCAGCTTCAAAAGAGACACTGCATGCTGCATTGCGACGCTGATGCTGCCGTCGCTGCGAGTTTGTCGGACCGCTCGACCACTCGGATGATGAGTCTATGCAACGGATCGAGACCGGCGGCTATCTCCACGCTTTGAAATCTGCACACGTGCCCATGTCGCGGACAATTTGGGCTTAACACCAACAGCTTTGCAATAGTTTACATGTAGCTACGTCTGTGGCCCAGGCCGTTCGGTTTCTCTCTTCTTCTCTTTCATCGAACAAAACATATGATGAGTTTCAGCGAGCGATACTGCGGGCGAACCCCCGCGCGTCCGCAACCTCCGCATTTTCCCTCTCGCTACTTGTACGCCAATCTGCCACTAAACCCACCGAGGCTGGGGTCAGTAGCATAACCTGATTCCAAAAGTTGTAAATTGCCTTAGACCACCGGCGTGGCCGCCCCGCGTTTACTCCAGTCTTTCCCCAATTTCTAGGATTGCCTACCTAAATTCTTTCGTTTCCCACACAAGGCTTGACCGAACCCCCGTGGGGCCAAGACCTGTCGTTGGGTTTTCTTTTCGGCCCGTAAAGTCAGTCCAAGAAACTCTCTCTGTTAGTTGCTTCTCGCCTTTGGCTCTACTCTCGTAACCATCATCGTCATGACCCGTCTTCGCCGAGCCTCAGTAGAACCACACGCCCAGGGATCATGACTCCTTACCCTTGGTCCGTCTGCGGAGCTGTTTCCTTGGCTCTGCCCTGGCTGACGTAGTATCGAGAGCTTCGAATGACAGCTTCCCCGGTCCAGTCGGATCCTCGTCCAGGCGTGCGCAGCGCGCGCAGCCGATATATAAAATGAACGCCTTCAGTGTCTGCGTTCGTGAGATTTCGGAGATCAAGCGGCGCGTCTACCAGTACTATCCATCGCAGCACAGCATGTCAGTCCTCAAGGGTGGTGCCGTCTTCACGGCCATCGCCTCCCTCGCCGCCGTCGCGGTCCCGGCTTCGTCTGCCAGCGTCCCGACCATCACGCCCGAGTACCTTGCGACCGCGGGCAACAACTCCCTCTTCACCCGCTGGAGGCCTCGCTCTCACTACCTCGCGCCGCACAGCTGGCTCAACGACCCTTGCGGTGCCGTCTACGACCCGGCCACGGAGACATACCACTTGCACTACCAATTCCACCCCAACCACGTCAACTGGGGAAACATCTCATGGGGCCATGCCGTCTCTAAGGATCTCTTCCATTGGACCGATGTCCGCGACTGGCAAAACGACTCTTCCGTCTCGCTCGCCTCCGGCAAGTACGCGTCCGGCCCTCTCTCGCAGTTCACCGGCACTACGCAACCCGTCAACATCGAGGGTGCCAGCGATGGCACACTCTTGACCTTCGGCACCGGTATTCACTACCTGCCCACGAACTGGAAGCAACCGTACATCACCGGCACCGAAGTGCAGGCCATGTACACTTCCTCCGACGGAGGTTCCACTTGGGACGAAGTCGGCACCGTTCTCTCTGGACCTCCCGAGGGCTGGAACGTCACCGGCTGGAGAGACCCTAGCTTCTTCCCCTCCACGGAGCTCGACAGCCTCCTCCAGGTCAGCGAGCCCCACTACTACATGGTTCTCGGCTCCGGCCTCAAGACCGGCGATGTGCCCGCTCAGCTCCCCGGCGCCGCCCGCCCCGGTTTCATCGGACCCCGTATCCCGCTCTACTCCACGCCCTCCTCCAACCTGACCGAATGGACCTTCCTCGGCGCTCTCTGGGAGCCCGCCGCGAACTCCTCCCTCGGTGTTCCCGACATTACCGGATCCTACGGCTATAACTTTGAAGTCAGCAGCTTCTTCGACCTCCCCGTCGGCGATTCGGACGAGAAGGCCTGGTTCGTCACCATGGGCGCCGAAGGCGGAAACACAACCCAGCACTGGAAGGAGCAGTGGGCTCTCTGGAACCGCGGAGACGTCGCCCGCCGCGACAACGGCTCCGTCGAGTTCACGCCCACCGCGGGCGCTGCTCTGGACTGGGGTATTTCCTACGCCCAGGCCACCTGGAAGGACACCCGCAACGACGACCGACGCGTCATGTGGGGGTGGGCCAACGACGACATCCTCGGCGATTACGCTTTCAACACGTCCAAGCAGATGGGTTACCAGGGATCCATGAACCTCCCTGTGGAGCTCTACATCAAGGAGACCAAGGGCGTCCAGAACTGCGGCACCCAGCAGGATGGAAGCACCTGCATCGAGAGCTGCAACGGCCACACCGCGCAGACTCTCGGTATGCGTCCCCTCTCCGACGTCCTCGAGCTCCTCCGCGAGGGCGCGCAGACCAACGAGTTCGAGATCGGTCAGCTCGCCGACACCACCAAGACCGCCTCCGCTGATCTCGGCACTTCCTACGAGCTGACTGCCACCCTCAGCGACTTCAGCGGCTCCGCGGGCATCATCCTCGCCCAGAGCCCCGACTCCGCCGAGTACACCACCATCAACTTCGACGTCGAGGCCTCGGAGATCAGCGTCATCCGCACCCATAGCAGTCTTCTGCCCAACTTCAACAACGCCACGTTTGTGGGTCACTTTGAGCCCTACCAGATCCACGAGAAGGGCGCCAACGCGACCGTCACGGAGGAACTCAACTTCCACGTCGTGCTCGACAACTCGCTGCTCGAGATCTGGATCAACGAGCGCTTCGCTCTTACGGCGCGCATTTACCCCTCGCGCAACGACAGCACGGGATTGACCTTCTTTGCTGCTGATGGCGGCAAGGCTACCTGGAAGGATGTCAAGGTCTGGACCGACCTTGCGCAGGCGTGGCCCGAGAGGCCGGAGGATTCGAGCGTTCCCTTGGTTTGGGACACCGCTGAGCAGACGAACAACTACAGTTGGTGGGCCGGATACTAGGTGTAAATATCTGTAGACCTAGAAGTGACGGGAACTAGATGATGATTTTACGTATGATTACAGTATAGAGTAATACCTATTAGCAAAAGTAAAAGTTTTGATGAATACACCGTTCATAGATGCTTGCCTTTGATCGTCTCAATGAGGGGAAACTGTGCAGAACCCACGAGTCTCTTTGATGATAGAGCTGTATGGGCAATTGGTTATTCAAAACCAGAACCTCCGCAGCTCATTGATGCAGCATTTTCTCGTACATGCTCCTTCGTTACATATGTGTGTCTAGTCTCATCTTATTCTCAAACTTCATAAGTTCACAACACACGAAATGAGCCTCTCCCGACGCAAAACCAAGAAGAGACAGCCATCACCGACTTCAAAAGGACGAAAATGAAAGGGACGAGACTCGAACTCGCGCGGGTTGCCCCACCAGGAAGCAGATGTTAAGCTGACCTTAACCTGGCGCCATAACCAACTCGGCCACCCTTCCGATGGTGATCCTTGGATGCCCGTGGATCGGTGAGGTTGAGATCCAAATCTTGGGTGAGGGAAGATAAAGCCCTAGAGTGGAGCATCGTGAGATTTTTCGTCGAGAGAAAAGCTTCCGGAGCGGATCCCGGATTCGTAAGTACCTACGTTGTGGGGATCACGGACGTTGCCGCTAAGCTGAGAACCGGGTCGCGGAAAGGCGGCAGTGGCTTTGGGGCTACGGGCATTGCGAGATGACGAGTCTGAAGCTTTTCATTGTGGCCGGTCGAGTCTGGATTAGCTAGCATTACTATGCAGCCGAGCCAATGTTCTGATGTGGCTGAAGGGGTTGTGGCATGTGCCAGCTGCGACTTGATGTGAGACTCAACATCGGAACCGCTCGTGAAACCCGATGAGTCGGGCTGGTCAATCCAACGAGTGAGGGCAATTTGACAGCAGAGAGGCAGCAAGTAAGAAGTGAGTGAGAGTTACCTGACCATCATGAGACTCTTGCTCATTTCATGATGAGAATGCTATCTTCCTCACACCGGCACAAACCCTCACCTTTTGACAAGCTCAGGTCATCGCAAGCTTTGCTCTTGAGGAGGATGGTCTAGACCAACGCAAGAAATACGAGGTAAACAGGGCGCGAGCTCAACCAATGATCGCAGTTCATCGAGGCTTAAGGATCGAATGGTCCGGACTGCTCTCCCTTGGCCTGCACGCAGAGTGCGGTTGTACGAGCGTCGAGCTGTCAAAACGGCTGGCCCATCAGAAGATGCCACCCAATCATCCGGTAAACAGGTGTCATTGCTTCCCGTCTTGCCGTACAGCTAAGGTAGCTCATCCATGGATGTGTTCACCCATGGGGAGATCTTCCGTGTGGTGATGATCGCGATCATCGTCTTGGAGCACCCAATTAGTGCTGCGCGGCCCGTGACGTCATGCATACCTACCCAAATGCGGTAAGAAGCTTGAGCAGACACGCGCTTGACGTCGGCGGCGGCAGCATTCCAGCTGTTTCCTCGTGCCAGCTTTCTCCCAAACTCATGATTTTCAGCTGCCTCAGCTTCGTAGCCCCAGACGAGCGGATGAACCTCGAAACGACTTCAAAGCTAGGAGACACCTCGCATCGCAGTCGAACCTGAACCTTCGTTCCATCGCATCTACCCGCCCAAGGACAGTAACGGCAGAAATCATGTTCAAGGGTAAACCCAGCGATACTGACGAGATGGCTTCACAACCGCCGCCTCCACCACCGCCAACGACAGCACCGCCTCTCCCTCCACCTGCTGCTTCAGACCCCGGTGTAGATACCCCAGCGAGCCAATCTAGCTATGGATACTCCAGCCAGTCGACAATGGGACAGGAACCCGAAATTGTAGAGGCACACGAGGAGGAGAGACCAACAGACAGCCATCACCTGGCAGACATGGCCTCCAAGGAGAAGCCGATCGAAGAGAGGGGACACGCCGAGCTTGACCACGATCATGTTGAAGTGAAGAATTTAGGATGGAACAACCCACCGAGCAAGGTTGCGCAGCCCATGGTTGGTGGTTTGAGTAACGAGGAGCTCTGGATCCTAGTCCGACGATTTGACAAGGTAATTGGAGCGAGCCGATTGACCTCTGTGCCGGAGGCGTGTCATTTATGGAGATATTGATACCTTCCCAGCAAATCTTCCACGTCAAATCGATATCCGAGCCACCGGTGAGCTTGCCCTTCCAAATCGGCGCATACCAGCAGCTAAACATAGATGGGCAGCTTGCAAACCTGGATATGAACATCGCCGACGAGGAGGAGTTCTCGCCTGACAAACTCCGCGCCCATGTAGAGCGCTTGTACATGACCGTCGTTGTTGGCTTATTCTCCTTCTGGAAGCATATTGTTCGCCTCCGTTCATGGCGCGAATACAAGCGCACCTCACTCTTTCTCGCAGTCTACTCCATCGCCTGGATCCTCGATTTCGTCGTTCCCGTCCTCGCTAGCTTCCTTATCGTTCTTGTCCTCGTCCCACAATCACGAGACTTTTGTTTCCCTCCCGCCCCCGCTTCCCTCATCGACAGCAAAACCGGCGGCGTCAAAAAACCCGCATCCGGCGTCCTCGCATCCGATGACTCGATCACCGGCGCACCCGAGAAACATGCCGGAGAGGCCGTGGAACAAGAGGCGTCGAGCTTCGTGAACAGCATCTCATCGCTGATCATCAGCACGGCGGCGGGAAAACATCCTCAAGGCGATCCCCACGACGACTCTTCTGTCCCCGACCCTACTAACATTACCCAAGATGTCGTCAATGCCAAGGATAAAACGGACGGCAAGGAGCCTACCCCCCACCACGACAAGACCAAGAAGCCTGTTCACGAGTCCGTCTGGATCAAGGCTAGGCCTGTGATGCATGGCATCGCCGACGTGAGTACTCCAACTCGAAGCCACTCTGTTCTTGCAACTGACAGAATGCGCAGTTTGTCGATACCTGGGAGCGTTTCGGAAACGCTCTGAGTCCAACCCCACCTTTTCCCCATCAGAGACCTCGTCTCGTCCTTGCCAGCGTTATCTTGCCACTGCTACTCGTCTCTTTGTTCACAACCTCGTACATGCTGGTCAAAGGTACCGGTTTTGTGGTTGGATTCACCGTCTTTGGAGACCCCATCATCCAAAGAGGCCTGGTGTTTATCAACCGGTCAGTCTTTCTTTCAACGTTGATTACTCGCGTGTCTAAAGTATGTCCAGTACCTACCCTCATTGGCAGAAGTATGTTGAGTTGCGAAACACCATTCTCAAGGGCATTCCCACCAATGCCCAAGTCACCATCACGCTTCTGCGCATTGGTGAGCGCAACAAGGCACCGCTCCCTCCTCCGCCAAAGTCCGATGTACCGCCACCTGATGAACCTCATGCGACCGCTGGTCAGGATCTGGAGCACCTCGGTAAGTAACCCATGACTTAAAAGAGGCTGCCGGAGATTGGCTCATAAAACTCACCAGGTGTCGATCAAGCAGATATAGACGAAGCCATCCAACCCGACGAAGCAGCACTAGCGCCAGCGGAGTCGGAAACGGCAGAGCACAAGCAGAAGAAGGGCCATCGAATCATGAATTTTATCAAGAGCACCGCCAAGGGCGGTATCAACACCACTCTCGCCGCGGACAAGGTAAAGGCTAAGGTCGGCGCTAAACACGCCAAGGACAGGCTGGGCGTCATTAAGAAGACGCCCGATCCTGAGAAGGGTCCCGTTCGATTCCCGGCACGCTGGAAGGGTAAGAGGGGCCATGCTTATATCACGACTACGGCTACGACCCCTGCGCTCAGCTGGACGACTGAGTCGGATGATCTGAGTCCGACGTGGACTGTCACCATTGGTGATATCGAGGTGAGAATTGTTCACGCGATCTCTTTAGATGCCACAGCTGACGTATACTCCACCAGCAAATTCGTAAAATGGGCGGTCTCGGCTGGAAGTCCAAGATTTTTGTTGGCTGGGCTACCGATCGTGAGATTGCAGACGGCCTCATCGCGACAGATAGCATCGGCAAGGAGTACCATCTTACCGCCATTATTTCGAGAGATGAACTCTTTAACCGTCTCGTGGCCTTGGGGTCACAGATGTGGGAAGCATGGTAATGAGGTTATGTCATTTTTGACAAGGGAAAAAGACTGTAACATATACACGGTGTTCCAGGAGACTGAAACTTTTGGGATTGGTACAGCATACGCATTACGACAGTTGTACCGTAAACGCACGAACCATAGCCTCCACGGCCAATTATTATGAGTTCAATGGCAATGACGAGTCTGTGGGATAGAAACCGTTGACTCTTGGTGCTATTCTCAAAAAGGTATTAAATTGTTATTTCTTACGGTACATTGATACAAGAACGTACTAGCCTGCGATCCAGATTCCACATGGTACTCGTGATGTCTCCTCGAAATACATCCAGTGACCTCCCATGTCATTCTCTTCACTTCTTGGGTCGTAAGTAGGCAGCAGATTGCCTAAGATTCCTATGTAAGAAACGATGTCTATATGCCTATCCGGGCCTCAAATTATGTTCCATAACCTGACCCAAACTACTTCTCGGTAGTCCTCTAAGGTAAGGGAAGTTGCTGAAAACACGTATAGCTTATAAAATATTGCCTCCCTCACTTGTCTAACCTTAATCCCTCGAGCTCTCTGCATGCTCATCTTGGGCACTGCCAACTTTACCAAGTTTTCTCCCCCGCTTTTCAAGATAAGCAATCAGGAAAATCACTGGCACAGTCAACGCGCCCGTCACCAAACTAGCAATGTATCCTTTTCGGTAATTAGGCGCATCCGTCACGGGGTAGAATATCAGAGGCCACCACGTCTGTGTTCCTGTTAGTGACTGCCAGCACAGATAATTGCTCATGGAATGCAAGTAGCCACTCACCACAAACGCAAAATCAAACGAGTTCATGAATCCCGTTGTAATCGCCCTCAGCTGCAAATCGTGCGACGTCAGGTCCGCCATCCACGAGTACCACAGCGCCTGCGGCGCATATGTTGTGCCCATCAGGTAGAACGCAAAGAAATACCCTGCGTCCGGCGGGTTCGAGATCAAGATTGCGCTGCTGACGATGAAAGTGAACCCGATGCACAGCGAGGCCTGCCAGCGCGAGCGAAGCCTATCGGAGACGGCGCAGTAGACAAAGGTTGCGACGATGCCCGTGGCGTATGTTGCGGTCGGGTAGTTGTTTTGCTGGATTACGGAGTAGCCCCGCGATGCCATCCATAGGGGGATTACGTTGTTACCTATTGCCTGGACGCTGAGGGAGTATACTGTGTTTACATGTCAGTACTTGTTGAACCCAGATATCTGTAACGAAGACATACGCATGAAAACGGTTGGCAGGAGCCAGAATTGCCAGCTGAGTAGGACACGTTGAAACACGCTCCTGTCCCATGCTTTTGTCTTTGTTCTGCCGAGGCGGGTGACAGCGAGTTCCCTCTCTTCCGGGGTCAAGAATCTTGCTGCGAGGTGCTCTGGTAGATCTGGTATAGCGAACCAGCCTTCTCAGATGTCAGTCTCTCGTTTTGACATGGCGTCTTCTCGAGCGCGAGCACCTACCAAAAACGGCAAACGGAATGGTGATGCACGAGACCACTACGAAAATAAGTCGCCAGGGTTCAATCGGGCCGTCGGATAGAGATGCCAGGAGTCCCGCCTGAATCCAGCCTCCTGCCATGTTGCCGAGATTGCCAAAAGCGCAAAAGACGGCTGCGCGGGTTGCGAGTTCGGACTGCTTGTACCATGACCCGTAGATGAAGTGCGCACCGACACTGTGTTCTATTAGAATTGTAACTCATCGAGACGGAGAGCAAAACTTACTATGCGATGGCTGAAAAGGCGCCCTCAAAGCCGTTGAGGATAAAAACTTGATAGACGTGCGTTGCTCGAAATGTAACGAGAGTGAGGACGCTCCAGACTGTGTTTGCTGCGACGAAGACGTAGCGGGGTTTTACGATGGTCAGGATTGAGGTTGAGGGAATTTGAAATACGGCGTAGGTGACGAGGTAAATGGTATGCATGTAATTGAAATCCTAGAGTGGAGTAAGTCAGAGTCTATCGCGCATGAAAGCTGAGGTGCTTATTGGATGTTCCAGTCCTCTCGCTGGAGTGTTGCGAGTCACTCACTTTTCCTTGGAAATTCAGGTCCTCTTTCATTCCGCTGATGTACGCCGTATTGTAGCTCGCGCGGTTGACGCCGAATAAGAACCACACGACAGAAAAGTAGATGAGCACGGTGAAATCAAGCTTGATAAGCAGCGATCGCTCGACCGACGCTGGGCCCCAGAGGGCTTCTTTGATCTTTGACGCCATATCAGACACCGGCTGCCTGCGTTGTCGATGTGAGAGTGTCAAGCCTGGAAGCAGTGGCGCCGCCTCATGAGAGGTTATGCCCGGCATTGTGTCTGTATTTGAAGCGAGCTGCACGCCGCCCGCGTACTACCACCCAAGGTTCCACTGTGTCAACGATGTCGTCTTGAAGGGTTGCACATTTCGCCATCTCCAATTCCCCATGGGAGATAAAGAGGGAAGGTCGTTGGGCTTAACCGAGGTTCGGCCGATATCTCTAACCGCAACCATGAAGGGTTGATCCTGTCATCAGAGTTTACCCCCGTTTGGTACTACGGCTTACAAAGGTTCTCTGGATCAGATGCTGAACCCCGCCTAACCCCACTAACCGCGGATTGCGCGATCTTATCCGTTTTGATGGCCATCTGAGTGGAATTAGAGATAAGAAAGTCAGCTACAACAACCCCCAACTTCTTCAGGCAACTTGTCCCAAAATAGGGTAATTCCTTGCACATCTTCAAGTGTTCATAAACTAAGATCAGGTAGATACTCATATGCAAACTTCACTTTCGGTTTGTTCGCGTCTAGGTCGATAACACCAGTTGAAAATATTGATACTCTCAATCTGACTACTATGCGCGCTCATCATTCTACTACCTCACTTAAAACCTTCTACATATACCCGATAAATAAGAGGGGAGCTTCACAATTTCATGCATGGCTTTAGTCAAATAGAAATGACGATAAACGTTGCCTTGCCTCCGCGTCATCCCATTCCACCAAAATCCGTTCCTTCGACTCCTCCACTTTGGTCTGCACCATAGTTTCCATGGCGGCCTGCTCTTCTGGGCTGAGAAGATCAATTCTAGTCTTCCAAAGCTCTGTATTGTGAATACCACCATACGGCTCACGCTGGCCAAAGAACTTCTCATCTAGATATTTCCAGTAAATAGTATCGAATGCCCAGCTCTTCCTGGCAGCATAGTTTAGCCAGAAACGTCCCGTGGCCCAGCTGTCCCGCATGTACGCTGAGAGGAGGAACGGCGTGTTTGAGTTTCCTGTCTCATTCTCTGCCTTTTCTAAGGCTAACAGCCATGTCGGGAGACGTTTCTCGTAAGTGGTCGTCCAATCATCGATACCATTCTCCCAAGACTCGGGAAAATCGAGCAACAGCCACCAGGGCGAATCCAACGTAAAGTGAGTCGGCCCAGCATATGCAAATTCCCAATCGATGGTCCCAAGAACGTCGCCATTGTCATCGACGAGAATATTATCCGGCCTAAAATCATCTCACCACAAGTGAAAAGCGCTTGAATTATCAGGCATCGGCAGGGTTGCACAAGTTTGCTTTGCGTGGGCTGACCAATCATCATTAGAAAAGCCGAAACTCGATAGCCGGCCTTGTTTTGCCAATCTGCGGAACAGTTGACGCGCGACGTACTTGGTCCTGCAGTCATCTTCGGAGGATATTATGTCGTTGTGCTGGAAGAGGAGTGTTGCCATTTGCATCTCGGCCAGTTTCACATACCAGTCATCGGCTGTCTGATACATTGTGCCTTTGGCAGGCAACACAGATTCGGGTACGTTGGAGAGTTTGACCATATTACTCATGTTGAAGGTGATGGGTCGTCCTGCCACGCAGATGGATCCGGGGCTGGTCTCGACAACAGCCCCGATGTGCGGAAACGTGGGTTGTGCAAGCTGCAGCACACATCGTGCAATCTTGTAATAGAGGTCCTTGAGTTTGGTTTCGGAAATTTCCGGATCCAACAGGAGGATATTGCAATCGGGCGGTAACAGGCCGCATCCCAAGGTTTCTCGGGACCCCATATCTTGGATGACTTGGAATGGACCGATGCCAGATGTGGGATCGACACCATAGTGGTAAACCTTGGGAACTATGAGTTGAGTATGTTGCGCCAAGTATCTCGCTGTCGCGGCTTCGCTAAGCGTTTTTTCTTCATGTATAATGCCCTGACTGGGAAAAGGTAGGCGCACCAGGACATTTGCGGGAGAAGAAGCTTCGGCATCTAGTCGAAAGGGAAATAGAATGTGGAATCCGCCGAGAATCACCGGTTCTATGACCTTTCCAGGCGCACCCATCACAATCTCGGCAAAGGCTTCGACCTTTCGGAGGTATGATCTCAACGAGATTTGTTTAACATATTCGTCCCAGGGTTCATCGGTCTGATTCCATTTCAGTTTATCAGAGTCTTGTCGAGCTGCCATTGCGCTAATAGATGGTGAGAGCGAGAAGAAGGGACGTAAACATGAAGGACTGGAACCAACGACTGACACTGCGTGATGTTTATGGCCATGAAAGCCTGAGGCTGCGAAGGTCGTTGGGTAGACAAAGGCTGTGTAGTGTAGGGGTGGTAAATGTCTTGGCCATGTCAGGCTAGGCGAGGCGTAGCAGTTGACGTCCAACGGTAAACCCCTTGACGAAACCTTCGTGGTCCAAACCAAGACTTCAGTTCACCCAGCTTTTGGTGAGTCCTGCATAATCAAAGCGGGTCATGTATGCACGGTGAAGCTGTGATGGCAAATCGCGCGTTCGCTGGTAAAAGCTCTTGAATCTGGAGGGGGGGCAGCTGCTGAATCGCGCCGAAGCCTTTGACAAATGTCGCTCGCCCCCAGAACACCCCAACCTACGACATCCACAACTTATCGTGGCATCTTTGGCAGACGATGTCAAATTGCGGATACCCGGCCCACCAGATCGAATAACGGCGAAAAATAACAAAGAGAGTGTGTTGTCGAGTAGACAGAGCTCCAGGGCGATTGCGCGGCCGCATCGTGACCAGGGATGAGGCAGTTGGTAAGTAAATCTTGTGGAGACCAGCAAAAACAGATCAACTTCAAAAGTAATGGTGGTTCCGGGCGGTAGAACGATTTGAGGTTGAAGAGGTAAAAACTATTGCTCATGTTTGAGGCGTGAACGCAGAGCTCAATATGACAAGCAGGTCCGGGAGCCCAGCGGTGTTGTGATATGCATTTGGAAGAACAGAACCTTGGCCCTCACTTCAAGCGGATAGAAGTGCGGAAAGCTCAATGTTCGAAACAAAGACGGTATTCTAGGGGGCTAATCCGATGAAAAGAAAGAGCTAGATTCGTTTCGGTCGGCAGATGGGTGAACACTGAACAGTTTGATGGAGAGAATAAGGCGCTCCCTAAGCTGTAGACTGGGTGAAGAGTCGGGGAGAAAGATAGTGAGCGATGACTCCTAATAGCTAGAAGCTCAAATAGTTCGACAGGGAGAATCGTCTATAAGATAGGCAGAGAAAGCTTCGTAGTTTACTATGTTATTCCAAGTTAGATACGCACTCAAGCATATCACGCCTTTCGACATTTTCCGAATCAAGCAAGCCACCTGAAAATCACATCCAGGAGCGTCTCCATACCGCACTTCACACGCCGAATAGCAACCTCAATAGGCATGTCACTCTTTCTAAACCGTCTGCATATCTTGAATGACGCCGTACATTAATTAATCAGGACTTCAACCGTGCAAAACATTGACCCTGAAGAAATGGAGAGGAACGTAGAGTTACAAGAACTCAGGGTCGACCAAACTTTAGCTGCAGGCGATCTTGCACATGAAAGGAGCAAAGCAGTCAAGGAGGAGAATGAGAAGAAGAAGAAAAACGAGGAAATATTGGACAATGCCGCACAGGCAGCTCAGGAGAGGCGCCTGGATGCCAATACCCAACTCATGATAGCGGCTGCAAGGGCGAGCGCAGAACGACGCGGAAAGAAGAATAAGGAGAAGGATGAGAAGGAAGCAAAGTAATCGAGTTCTCTCATTTCTCTCATTTAGTGTCATGAAGTAGTATAGTTTAAGAAGGGACTGGGTATCGTCCCAAAGTTTTTAGGCTCATGTAAATATAACATTGTCTCAGTACTCGAGGAAGCTCCAATTCTCAAGCTTGAAACAGCTGATCTTGTATTCATGTGTCTGAGATCAAATCACTGTTTTGGTCGAGGCAGGGGTCATCTTCAAGCACGTAGGTCGCGTTGAATCGGACAATAGTCAGGACTGCCGTGTATTACAAAACTGTTGGTTCACGGGGTCGTATACGACAAATAGTGGTAGCAATTATCACTCGTCTGTTGGTGATCCTATTGCTTGTTCTTCTTGTTGTTCTATCTTACATTGTAGGCAGGAGTCGGTCGAAGTAGGTAGTGACGGCCTGGGTGGTTGCCCCACCTTTATCCGGCCGTGATGACTAGGCCAGTTGTCCCACTTCGCCCAGGGCAGGTGCCAGCCAGCCCATGGTACCTGCCTATTACTCCTTATCAGCCTTTGCTGTTCCAACAAAAACCGTCCCCATAACATTGACCTTTTGAAAGGACGTGGTGCGTTTCCCCACAGCCAATACACAGAGGCTTTAGACGACTTTAAATCAGCAGTAAAAGCTTGTTGTCGTCACTCTTGAGCTAGGTATTCATCCCGTAATGAGTCGGATCTCCTGCTGAGCATCTGCATCTCTTCATAATTGAGCGGTCTCTCAGGATTAGGACCGAAGGTCCGCGAGAATCGGCCCGAAACCTTTTTCGAACTGTTGTATAGAATGTGTCGTGTGGTCACAATGTGGGCATCGAGATGTGTAATAGAGAACGGTTATCCATTGAAAGGAGAGAATAGGTACGAGGCTCGCTCTGAAATAATGATGATGATGATGATGTATTTAACGTCTGGTAACAAAAGGACGTGCCGGGCGCTATACCGATATAGTCTATGCTAATCTAAACTATGTTATAGGCTACCGTCTTTACCTAACGTTCCTATTTAATGATTCGGGCAAATTTCGGAAAAGAAATTGGTCTCCTCTATCCATTCGTATAGAAGAGAGGCTCCCTTAGTAGAACCTAATAAGAAATCAATGCTTATTTTAGCTATACGTTGGCGGAGGTAGTGCGGTGTAGCCTTACGTCTACGCTTATAGAAGTAGAAATGGACTAGTGTCTTAGGTTTCTTATAGCTATAGTTGAGTAACGTATCTTGATGAGCGAATCTCTCGTGGTATGCTGTAAAGTCTCTATGATGGGATCTTGCTGCGTATAGCCTTCCTAATAAGTGCCGAGGGAGGCGGAGTTTGGGCGGCTTAGGGTGAAGAATTATCTCGAGGTCGGTATATTACCGAGGACATTAGGACAGCTATTTTCTGGTAAAGGCTTGGAAGGTAGCTGTTGGTATACACGTCAGCAGGGCAACCGTACGGTTGGAACGAAGTGTCAATAATGGTCTATTATTGCTGCGTCTTGAGGTGGAAGGAGGAGATTGTGGGCAGAGCCCACGATCTCCCAGAAGTGGTATATAAGTGAAAGGGCCGTTTGTAAGTGCCCATACCGCCTTCCGGATCCATCTTTTCTGCCGACTGCTCAGAGATCCAACAGTAGCTGCTTTAGCTTGCCTTTCTAGGTGCGCTAATGAGGGTTGTGGTTGTGATTTTGGGATTAGTTTATAGGCTTCCTTGGCTAGAGTATCTGCTTCTTTATTTCCTGGTATTCCCGTGTACCTAGGGCATTACTAAATATAAACCCTGCCGGGGGTTGTCCAGCTCTCTCTTTGTCTCCGAGTCTAGGAGGAAGAGAGCTTATTAAAGGCCCTAAATCTAGCCTGGCTGCTTCCTGTGCTTTAGGAGTATAGTCTAGTCGCGACTGCGAGGTTGTCGAGGTAGATATGGACGTTATCTGCTATACGAGCCGTAGGAGCCCGGGTGGCTTTTATCAGGCCGTGATACGTAGTATATGCCTCCGCGTTATATACCTTAGTTTAGGAGCCGAGTGGTTCGGATCTGCAGAAGATCTGCCGTGTAGCTTGGTACCCTACTGTGGCAGGTGCAGGTGGGTCACGTGAGGCAGCTCCTTCACATCTCGGAGCTGCCCCACCTACACCTTGCCCAGATATCCAGCCCAGCCAGCGCTCAGCTTTTCCCATCATCATCATCAGATCCAATACAGTAGTATTGCCTCCACACCTACCTAGCCTACTCCGGCGGAGGTGCTACTGCCGTCCGATATCTAGGACCCGTTAGTATAGACAATAATATCCCGCTTGGAGAAAGTTGCTATCCTGCCTGCAAAGAAGAGGGCCTGTTCTTCTTTGGTCTTGTTAGGTTCGTAGCCGACCCTGGCGAGGACTATTTGCCAGTCCGCTAGTTGCTCCCAAGGGGGGAGTTCTAACGGATCGATGTATTCAGTATTTTTGCTTACGAGGCTTGCTATTCGTCGTAGCCGTGAGTCTAGTCCTGATTTATCCCTGAGTCTCGTTCGGAGAGGGTGTCGCTCGTCCAGATGATGGATTCTGGTGGACGCTGTGTAGAGCTTCGCATCCAGCATCACCTCTGCTAGGGGTAGAGCCGCCTCGCACTATAGGATCGGTATAGGCGTCGTTCTATATACGGGGACCATCGCTCTAATAGCTTTCGTTTATGTCGCATCTAGTTGGTATAGCAGACTACCAACCGCGTTTAAGATAGTACGTCCATTCTTTATCCGGCTCTTGCCGGGCCACTATACTTCAGATACATAGTACTAAATAGGTAATACATAAGAGGTGATCGCTCGACAAAGTAAGTACGTAGGCGCGCCCTAGATAATGTTCCCTAGTCCCCGTAGTCCATTAACTACTTAGTATGCTTTTACGGAGAGGTTTCTTACGTAACTCTTAAATATAAGTTTACGGTCAAAGTGAACGCCGAGCCAGCGTAGAGAAGAGCCTTCTTTAATAGCCTAAACTATATAATACCTCCCATCCGGTAAACCTACTATAATTAATAGGTTTCCGTCTTTTCGTCTCTTAGTGAAATGGATTAATTCGGACTTATCGAGGTCAAAAGTGATTCTGTTGGTTCACGGGGTCGTATACGACAAATAGTGGTAGCAATTATCACTCGTCTGTTGGTGATCCTATTGCTTGTTCTTCTTGTTGTTGTTCTATCTTACATTGTAGGCAGGAGTCGGTCGAAGTAGGTAGTGACGGCCTGGGTGGTTGCCCCACCTTTATCCGGCCGTGATGACTAAGCCAGTTGTCCCACTTCGCCCAGGGCAGGTGCCAGCCAGCCCATGGTACCTTCCCATTACTCCTTATCAGCCTTTGCTGTTCCAACACTGGGAACTCTCTCTCTTTGTGGCTGATAAGGACGGATTCAGGCTTATTCGTACACAAGGTAACAACAGTTACCGACCAACTCCTCCTCTATACCTCCATATCACGTACGTGTGAC